CAGATTCGCAGACGTCGATTTGGTGGGAGAATTCAGAATCCAGAAACCCACTCTTTGCAGAGTACATCGAACAAGACTTTTTCAACTTGAAGCCCGCCTTGAGCTTGTGCAGCAACGAGTAAGCAAACGTCCTGATGTCAAAGTTGTTGCACTTGTTGCGGAATGTTGAGAAGCTCTGCAACGTAACAAAGCTTGACAACTGCTGCTAGAGTCCTCGAACGCTCTGTAAGGACGCCGAAAATGTTCGGAACCACAAGTGGGAGAAGCTCGGGCTCTGTGATTTTCTGCATCTTGGCCTCAAGAGAAAGAGAACCCTAGGATGCGCGCAGAGTCTCTTCATGGTGGTTTGACGGCCTCATTCCTCTGCTGGAGGAAGCGCAGGATCCTGCTCCGACCGGAGAAAATAGGGCTTCCAAACTTCCGAAGCATCACGTGACGGCGCACCAAGAGATTGGAGGTGCGCCCGGGCGCCCATCCTGCACTCAGCGAGCGTCTCAGGCATGAAGAGACAGGACCAATCATCGTAGCCTCTTGAGGCCAAGCAGCAGCTGGCCTGGGGCACAAGCACAGAAGCACAGGAGTTGCAGAGCATGTGCTCCCGACTTCACCTTATCCCCTCCCGCTCGTACCTGGTAAGGCCCGACTTGGACTTACCTCGGTGATACGATCTCCACTCCTCCATCTTTTGACGAACAAAACAGGGCACAGGGCCTGCCGAGACGCCCTCATCAGCTCCGAGAGGAATGACCTCAAGCTTGTTTTCGTGCTTTCAACGTCACTGCGCCGTTATACTAAGCCAGGCGACTACCGGCAGCAGCAACTGCTGCAGGAGGGAAGGAAAGAAGCTGAGAAAACTCCTGCTGCCGGCAATGCACAAGTGCTCATCGCAAAGATCCTTTCTTGCAGCTCGGGTCCTGCAAAGCACCAAGTTGACGAAGTCCGGGCCCATGCTCTGAACGATTTCTCGCACGCCTCCTTCAAAGAGCAACCCATGGGTCAGTAGCAGCAACAGCTAGAGCAAAAGCCTTCCGATGATCCGCTCTGCATAGCCAGCAACTGTACTCGGCCCTGCTGGCGGAGCAGTCATACAAGCTTTGTAACATCGCCACGGTCCCCCTCCACAATCGGAAGCTGTGGCCAGTGCCCATTTGCGGATGGCATTGGTGACCGGCGACTGTCGAATTCGAGACATTGAAATTCGTACAGTCGGCTCAAACTGAGCTGCATCCAATGAGCATCATCGTGGATGATGTCGAAGATTCGTCTGTTGAGAAGGAAATCTTGCACCTGTCAGAATTTGCCCAAGTGACCAGACCGGGAGGACAGGATGTCGGAATTGCGCACGTCGAAAGGGGCTTACAGGTACCTTTTTTGGTCGCGCACCCTTACACAAGACATGGTAAATTGTCGCCGTCCATGTCTTCGATGCGTTGGCCGTCTGCTGTGTTATCTGCTCCGCAAGCTCACAGCACGGCAGGCTTGATCAAGCGCAGGTGAGACTCGGGGTGGTCTGATTTCACGCCCTACTGCCGAACCCTGAGCTCATGCATACTTCGGGTTCTCAGGCATGTCCAGGTTCTCCTCAAGAGCAATGCGAGCACATGCAATCACGAAACCACGTGTTTAACGTTGCAGTCACTGGGACCCTGTCGCCCAGCTGCACCTTGCAAACAGCATTCGGCATCATTGGCAAAACTGTCAGTATCTGCTCCACTGTCACTCGGCCGCCTTTCTGCATAGAGTGACAATAACAACCTGTGACTGTAGCCGTGTGTAATCTGTTGCACACATGCGATTCATCCAAGGCACAATGAGCACGATGGTAGTCAGGAACGCCACCGCACGACCGATTGCTCTCTGGTTGGGAGTGAAGTACTCCTGGCGAACATACAGAGTCCGTCAAATCGGGAGATGCCAAAACAAACCTACAAGAAGCTTCTCTCAATCCTTGGGCCGCATGAACGCAAGGTTCTGGAGCATCTTTCACGCAGGTTCCTCACAGAAAGTAATTTGTGATTGGCGACGCCAGAGCATGTCTTTGTTGACTGGCGACACCATAGCATGTCTGTGGTGAGTGTGCAGGTCCGCAGATGTCCGTCGCTCCTGTTCACGGAAGGCCGAAAGTATCAAAATCTCCCTGCTCGAACCCGCAAAGCTCCGGCCACAAAGCCACTGTCAGCGAAGGCATCGCGCGTGCTAGTTGAGTCTCACGCAGTGCAACGGAGCTGGAGATCCTTTCTTTCTAAGATTTCTATCGTGAAGTGGCGTCTTTGCGGTCTTTGACCGGGGTACGGCGAGCACCCCTAGACAACATACACGCACAAGCTCTCCTGAAGTGGTCAGGAATTAAAGCTGCCAGCGCTGGACATCTCGCACGAGCACAGCGTCTGCCGTCAATGCTGTGTCTGCCTCATAGGATAGGCGCAGCCAGTGTTCCACTGGCTTTGTCATGCCACACCCCATCATGATCGTGCGCAGCAAAACATTGCAAGTCGTAAGTCGGAGAAACACACTGGATCATACTGGTTTCACGTATTTCACCTTCCTGGTCCCTTTGTATACGAGGTAACCTTGCACAGTCAGGTTCCTGCTATGAGCATCGAGAGTCAGACATGCGCTGAAATCGTTTTTGGGACAGGGCAGGATGTCCGACATGCACAACAACAGCTGTTTTGGACTGCTGACATCAATACGCAGCAACATCTTTGCCTGCCCCATTCGACAATTCACCGAAAACGTACCCGGCACTTGTGACCTAACATCTGTCGAATTCCAAGTGCCGCACATGCGCTCGGCTGCGCTCTGTACAATTGTGTTTTAAATCGAACAGCTCGCTGTCTCGTGTCACCTGCGGAACATGTCGATCACCGCAAGACAGCTGCTCCAATGCAGGCTTAGGCAGGAGGCAGTGACGGGCAGCGCTTCGGGCGTCAGATGTGCTCCCACTCCATTGCCTGAAAAAGAGGCAGGCCATGGACATAGACAACGGACACGGACGAGCAGTCTTGTGTGCAGAGCCGAGCTGCCCCCAACCCCCGCCCCTGCATTAGCGAATCCTGTGAACCATTGACACCGCCACTTCCACCCCAGCCACGTCTCCGAGACAACTCCCAGTGCTCCCCCGCCCGGACGTCCTCGTCATCCGTTGCCATCTCTGCGGGTGATGGTGCAAAGGTAGACGGGCTGAAATTCTCGTCTAGGTCAAGGTCCTCGGCGGAAGGGACTCTGCCAACCCGGGCACCCGGAATAACTCCATCGGTCGGTTGCGCCAGGCATCTAAACGAACATCAGCAGGAAGCTTTGTCTTGTCAACCTCGCTGAGGTTCCATTGAAGCAAGATCGGGACTTCAAGGGCTTCTCAGGGCAGGACAAACTCCAGCTTCAACTCCTCGTCGCTGGAGCTTGCGCGCTCCAAATATCGCACGGCAGACCTGCAGCTGGAAATATGCAGTGAGAACTTAGAACACTTGAGTCCGGCAGCACTGAGGCTAGTGCACCATCATCAACAGCTCACCTTCCTCAGACAAGAAGTATGCGGTGCCTCACGTAGACGATAGGAGGCATGAAGTCACAGACTCCGATTTTTCACACCTAGAAGAAAGCGAACTTTTCCAGCCGATGCACCGTGAGGGTCCAGTGCGACCTTCGCGACCCTCGCCAGACGACCCGACGAGTTCACAATGGGCTGCCAACCTCTCGGAAGTTCCGTCAGCCTCAGTTCCATCAGCTCCCGTCTTACATCCAGAATCTCTACGCTGATCGAGGCAAGTCGCATGAAGCCGTGGTCATAGACCTATAGCCAATGCTTGCCAGGGCCGACACAGTTCACAGAGCCGCTCTAGAACAAATCACCGTGAGCCTCGAAGATGGTTCCGTGGCAGTCCATGGTCAACTGTGTAAGTCCAGTGACACCAGATAAAAGCAGCTGTACACAGGCATTTGTGCCTTGGCTGCAAGCTTGTCTGTTCCGTAATCGAAGGGAGAGCTTTGCATCCTTTTAGCTCTCCATGTGACCCACATCTTGTACACCAGGGTTCGCAGCAGTTCGGCACAAGCATGCTGCCAACTACACGTAGGTTGAGCTTTCGCTGCTATCGATGCAGGCAAGTCTCTCTGGACTGGCTGGAACTGCTGAGGGCGCTTGAAGGGAACAATGGCGCCACTCTGCGGTGTCAGCTCCTCTCAAATCAGATTCAGATGGCATGTGGGACGCCCCCAGGCCCTTTCAGCGCTCCTGCACCTCAGCAACACTGCGTTTCGAAACGTTCAGGATGGGCACTTGCTGCGGGAATATCCGTCCTGATTTTGCTGACAATCTACATCTGGAGTCTAGAGTGGCTGTCCACTGTAGAGCTGGTCCTTTAAGTCACAACATCATGCATGAAATGCATGCTACGAGGCCAAAACCGCTAGCAAAGCTAGGATTCGTCTCTTTGTCGCGTCCATCACTGGCAACTCCTGCGCATCGCGCTTCAGCATTGTGAGCTCAGGCCCTTCAAGCCTTCTCCTGAGTGGACCGTGTGGCAACGCTTTCGCGGTAACAAGGCAATGACTACCAGGATTAGGGCGGTTCGGCCACTTGCAGCTACTGCTGACTCACTCTCCTTCTGGCTCCTTCTCCTGGTGCTGCTCTCTTTCCTCCTGTCTCGTGCTCCTCCGGATCTCCCACCGACTTGACTTTTCCCTGCTCCTCCTCCTCTTCCTCCTTCCTCCATGACCATCCTCATCCATATCCCATGCTGACTACAGAAGCGGGTCAATGAAAGGAAACCCCGAGCAAGGGGAGACCACCAGATGCTCTGACGCTGGCCCCAGAAGGCATGCACTCGCTGCTGCTGAAGCTCCGCTTGTCCTTAGCGCACATCTGCCGTTCAGAAGGCAATGTGAAGCTCGTGAGAGACAGAGCTTGATGCCCCCTAGCACTAAGCCAAGACTCCACTTCCTGCACGAACTTCAGTGCAGGCTGGGACAGTCCAGCTGCTTGCAGCTCTCGCACTACTTGTTGTAGAGGGATGCGACGGCGCTTCCTCCTTAGCTCGATTCCAGCCAGACTGGCTTTTTCGAAATAAAACTCGCATCCTGGCTTCTTACATATTCAACCTGCGGGTGTACGCGGTAAAGCCGCTTGACGTATCGGGGTGCAGGACACACGGGGGGCCGGAGGCGCCGCTGCAAAACGGGTGGTGGGGCTCGGCACACGACCTGGCCCCAGGCCGCCAGTGGTTGGACAAACCGGGCATGGTGGGGCGAGGAACGGGTCGACGAAGGAGTTCCAGCGGGCTGCGCGAGAACCAGTAACCAGGACGCTGCAAGGCATTGGCGCAGCAGTTTCTCCGAAGAATTCTTCGTGCTCATGCTGATTGGTACATCGAAACGATACCGAAAACTACGTGGGATGCTGGCATGATTGCAGATGGTGAAGTCCGAAGATCCTCCAAGTAGCGCGATCGGCAAGTCGGATTGATTCAAGATTTCTTGTGCGAACCCGAAACCTCGCTCTTCACATTCACATCCACTAAGGCATCGTCTCGGGCTCTGCTTCTGGCGGGTCAGCGACAAAGCGCTTCACAGGTCCCAGTTCTGCCATGGCTTCCCCAGGCCCCTCGGCCCCTCCTGGCGCGGACCTCGGCCTACCGCCCGAAGCTGAAGTGGCAGCGGCACGTGCACAAAACCGCATACAAGCGAAGCATGGCGGAGCATGGCGGAGCATGGCGGAGCACAGCGGATCCTGTCATCTGGACCGCCCGCCGCCCCGGGCACCTCCTCTGGAAGATGTCTCAGCAATCCCTGAGGATCGGCTGCGGCAGAAATCGCAATACAGACCTGGCAGATCGGAAGAGATCCCCAGAGCCGATCGTTTATAGAAGTCTTTGCTGTACAACATGCCACGTGCCACAATTCCCGCCAGGATGGGGACCAAGTAGCTCTGCGACTTAGCTCATGCCGCATGATGTGAGGATGCGATGCTGCAAGGTCTCCGAATCTCTCTAGCACAATATCCCACACTCTGCTGACAGCCACGGGTGACCTAAGAGTCAGACAGTCAAAAAACGCACAGCTGCCCAAAAGCAGCCTGCAAGCTCAAGAATTCCTTCAAGCCTGGATCTATGGTCACACTAAGTAAAAACCGAGCACCGCTTCAACCGATGCTATCTCCCTACTGCAACATCAGCATCGAGGTTTCACTACCTTGTCTGCTGAACTTCTTCATGAAGACTTGAATGTGCTTTGACACATTGCGACACAATGCTGCAAGTGCTCGCACGGTAGCCGCGAAAGCAGTCTCTCACCTCTGCATATCTTTAGTTGCAGCTCCCTTGCAAAATGTATGTGAATGATGACTACACTGGAGTGGAGCAGACCGCCAATGCGGATACATTCGCGGCCTGCCAACAACAGAACCCCACCAATCGCCGCGAGAGCTCCGCGAAAATGAAATTGTGCCTCTCTTCACGAGACACAGAGGACGGGGCCAAGACATGAACGAAGCTCTCAAGCCTCCGCAGCCCGGAGATAAGCAATGCTGCTCAAAGCCTTGAGGATCGCATGGGCGCGGCAAGAATCTCACAAAAGCTGCTTTACACGGCTCACGGTCCGTGCTGATGGCTCTGACTCTGAGGCCCCGGACTTCTCCGGACTTGGGGGCCAAGGGCTTCTCCTGTCAGGCCGAGGCCTAGGCATGCCCAGACCTTGCCTCAAACATCGCCTCCTGACTGGATGCAGCTCCAGCACACATGGCTCCCACAGGCGATTTACAGAAAGTGCCTTTCGAAATTCTCCTGGAGGCTCGGAACTTGCAAAGCAACAGGAACCTACCTTTTCCATTCCAACTCTCTCTCTCTCTCTTGAGGCTGCGGTCAAGCTTGTCATGCAAAGACAACAGCAGCAGCATCCATGCACGCACGTGTTGCAAACTCTGCATGAGTGTACACTGCACCCCGCAGCAGCTTTTCAGCTAAATCAAAGCCAAACATCAGGTCTTTGACAGGCTTTGTGTCGGACTGTCTGCGATGGTTCGCGTGGTCTGAAACAAGAGATGAATGCCAGCTGGGAGCCTGTGTGAGGCAATAGATCGAGCTGAGACACCACGCAACCAGGTCATTAACGCGTTTCCTCTGCTCAGAGCTCGTCGTGACCCTCCTCCGGACAAGCAAACATGGGGCCCGGGGACGTTAGAGCACATTGGTCACCCCTTGCGCTTTACTCTCCCACGAGGCTCCATGTCGAGCTCACCACCGCCCTCACCACTGCTAGCTGAAGTCGGCTTAGTAGGCAGCTCCGGCGCATTGGCTTCCAGTTCCTACCAGGGAACGGGATAACGGGCAACCGTCGGGTGCAGCACGGTGCTCCTCCCGCTTCTCATGTATTTCCTCAGCTTCAGCATCGGGGTTTGCAGCCAGCCAATCCTGAGAAGAGGTATGTGTCCCACCACGCTCAGTTCATGTCATTCGCCTGCCTGACCCTCGGAAGCTGCTTCCAGGAGAATGCCTGCATCCTGAAGAGTGCACCGTGCGCAGTGCTCGCAGCGCACACCTGAGGTGGCTTCTGCTTGTGTGCACCTCTTCCGATGCGGACTCTGCAGCTGAATGCAGAGATCGAACCAAGGCTTTCAACGCCATGCGTGCCTGAAAAAAATGCTGGGCTTTTGTCTGGGTTCTCTTTCAAGATCGCATGGATGCCACGCCACGGGCCTCTGCGCGATCAAACTCTCTCTGATCATCCTTGGCGAAGGATTCCGCCTGTGAAGCCAGAAAGAACCGGCACACTGCAGAAGGAAAAGATGGGCCGCCTCGGAGAGCGACTCCTGAATTTGCTCTCCGCTAAGGAAGCGCTCTTGCTTGATGACGAGCTCGCCTGAGACAATGAGCATCCTCCGGGATCATGTTCAGGCCCTCTCTAGTAGTCTAGGAGTCCAGCAGCTATAGCACATGTCTTTTGCCAACTTGGACGCCAACTGCGTTTACCCGAATCTTTGCTGTTCGCTTCCACAGTAAGCAAGCCATTTTCGTCCACCTGGGCGCTGCAAAATTCACCGGTAGCGAGCAAGCTGATAGCAATTCCCTGAACTTCACAGTGCAAGAAGGCATCGAAGGCGAGCCTTGAAAAGGACCTGAATCTGCGGCACTCCTCTTGGGGCTGCAGGGATGCCTGAGGCAGACTTCCCACGGAAACAAAGGACCGTCAAGACCCTCTCCGTTCCATGTTTTAGCGCGCCTTTGATTTGGAAGCTTCCCAGGAAGTGGTTATTGCGAGCCTCCCGAGATCTCCACAGCTCATGACGAGGCTCACGAGCGAAGCATAGCGAAGCATAGCGAAGCATAGCGACGCAGTTTGGAGCCAAGCCAGACCGGGTTCGGGTTTGTAAGCGTGGGACCATCCGTCGCTCGCCCTGGAAGACTTTGATGCTGGCCACTTCCTGCGTTTCGAAAGCTCTTCACTGCACTCGGGCACTTGCAGCAAAAGCAAAACTTCCCGTCCTGACCATCCTTGTTGGTCGAGAAGAGCATCCTCGGAACAGGGAGCATTCGTCGTCGCCTTCAATTGCAATCTCATGAATCCAAGCTTCGAGTTCTCGGCCGGCAACTGCGCGTTGCGATTTAGCACGGTAGTCATGAAGCCTCCAGCCTCAAGGTCCCGGAAACAGACCTAGTGTGGGAGTAAAGAGAAAGCTTGGTACCGTGCTGTCTGAATGCCAAGCGAGAGTGGGATGACATCGATGAGGCCACCGTACTGGCATTAGCACATGAGGGCGAAAATTACTCTCTGGCTGTGTCGGAGTGTCATGTTTCCACGTCATGTGTCCATCGCATCTTGATGTTTCATGTTCAAAACCAATTATTGCGACGTCGCGAATCCCTGGCCTCTACACTCTGTTCGGAACTCAGGCCAGCGGCCTGGGAAGACGCTGCCGTCTCTGGGGCTCTCGGTTCTACTGAGCTTGCAACAAGGATCCGGCCATCACTGCGGCGCCGTAAGCAACGACTTCATCCGGGTTTATCCTTCTCATGAGCCTGACAGCTGCACCATCAGTCATACAATCATACAGTTGCATGGCGGGGGACACGAGACAGATTTACAGCCAGTTCAGTCCGGGAGCTCTTTGCCATCGAAGAACCTGGAGTGTCGGAGCTCAACCGTGAGGCTTGCGAGGCTTAGAAGGCACCGATGCTCCATGCTTGCCTACGGCCTTCTGCTGGCGTAAGGCCGTGCCGTGGGCATATGCACCAAGCCGAAGAGCTGGCTCAGCATCTGCTGCACCTTCGGGATGCGCGAGGAGCCGCCCGCGAGGATGACCTCACAACAGAACCCCTTTGCAGCCTTTGCGATAGAAGTTAGAGGCGTCCAAGGTGCGGTGGTCACCTCGGACTTGTGCAGTCCCGCGTCTTTCAGAACCGACTGCACAGGTTCCAGGGTCCTCCGCTGGCCAGTTGGCTCAGTTGCGACCATGTGCCCACGGAAGCTTTGTTTATGGCCACGTCTTGCAGTTGCCGATAGTTCCGGGTCCTTCTAAAGAGCTCGTCGTTGAGCTTCTCGAACTGTCCTCGCGTCCTCGGCCGTCCAAGCCAATTGCGCTCAGCCCCTCCGGCCCTTACTATCCATGGAAGCTATTACTTGCACGGTGAGGCGAAGTACAGAGTTTCCGCCAGGGTCGTGTCGCCGAAGTCAACCTTGACGGTCGCCTTTCAACAGGGAATCGCGACTTAAAGGAACGTGGGGGATGCAATGACACAGGTGACACTGCTAAGTCATACCTGCGGCACGGTGCTGAGCTTTCGCTTGGCCTCCGGATAAGCATAAGACAGTCTAAATCGCATCAGCAGCTTTCTGTTAATCACACTTCATGCCTTCTCCGCTTCCACCCGAAGCATTTCAAGCAACTGTGGCTCGACAGAAACGTCCTTCCATCGACCCGATGTGGAAAATGTGCAAAATGTCTAGGTCACAGGTTTCGGGTGCCAATCACTTCCAATCCTTGCTGAACTTCTTCTTGAAGATATCTATCCTCAGCTTATCTTGTCCAGGCCTTCTTTACGCGGAGATCATAAGCGCGCACAAATGCATCAAGTGCCAAAGCCATCAATCGATTGTAACGACACGCTTGGTAGCTGCTATCTGCTGCAGCTGCCTGCAAACAAGTTGCAGGTGTGTCACCAACCGTCGGTCGAAGTCCTCCCCTCCCAGGCGAGGCTCTCCACTGGTTGCCAACACCTCCAGGGCAACGCTGCTTCCGTGAGAAACGTCACAGATGCGCATATGCCCACCTGAAGCACGCCGCTGGAGCCAGTCTTTAACACCGACACATCACCTCCGCGCTGCTCCCAAAGAAGCAACGTCGTCTCTGTCATACTCTGTTGTCAGTCAGAGCGACACGTGCCGCCACCCAGGTCGTAAACCAAGATGACCTCCTGAACACGTAGCTTTCGATATGGAGCACGCTTAAGGCGCCATGCTCACTACCGCCGTCCTCGACTTTGCTTTCCTCGGGCCAGAAACGTGACACGGCAATCAGTGACAGAACTCGCACTGGACGGTCCGTGAGAGTAAATCCTCTGACCGGGCGGGTTCTTTACCGGATTGAGTTGGCAAAACGCCGTCTATGTCTTGCACTTAGACATTCAAATTTGAACATCACACATACATGCATGCGAGGCAAACGGAGCTGAAACAGAGGCTCGCAGCTGCTGTGCAAATTTGTGCCCTCCAGCCTTGCGCACGATACCTGACCACGACATACCCTGACTGAATTGAAAGCATAATCGTGTCAGCACCGTTTCTCCAATGTGTTATATAAAGGAAAGAGAAACAAAGACAAGCCATGCTACCGCCGAAAGCCAAACCGTTACGACGGGCTGACACCTTTTTCCGAGATGGTGTGAAGCGCATCGCGCCGGACCCGTCGCCAACGCTAAGCTGGGCTGGCCGGCGCCGGGGGACGCCTTCAGCTACCCGGCCCGCCGCCCGCCAGCGCGCGACGGTCCACAAAATCGAATAATCTTAAAAGGGTGGAGAGGGCGGGGCTTGAAGGCCGGGCGACGTCGATCCCAAAAGGCAGCTGCGGGATCGACGTTCGCCGGCTTGTCCTAGCACACACAAGTGTGTTACACCACAAAACACTGATAAAGAATCGGAATGCGATTTAGTCAATACATGCCTTCGCAGACGAAATGGAAGGATGCATACATACGTTAAGAAGAAGAAGAGCAGAGGCCGTGGGATGGAGGCAAAATGAGACAACGGCAGCAACCACAATGATGACAACGACATGCCGTCATCAAGCTTTGTACATGTTATCCAGCTCGTTCATTCGGCATCCTTTCCAGATCACCCACTTCATGTCATTAACGCACTTGCCACCAATGGGTCGCTTGTCTCCAACACTTTCGGTTGAAACTGACATGGCCGGAACCGTTCTATGCATTGTTCGGGTGCATTCATCATTAATGCACCAACACCTTGCCCTTGCAATGATTGGTATTCGCAGTCTGCTCAGAAAAGCTGGCATGAAGACACCCCACGATGAGCCTAGCTTGCCTTGACACAGCTTCCAAGGTAAAGGCACGCGCGCGCCGTTTGCATCCGTTTGCCAGTTGTTCTATTCCGTGGGGGCATTCGTCGGGATTCAGATCGGGGATGCCGCCGATCAGATCTGAAGCATCTGTTGGCTTTGAGCCTCCGTGCCACCGCAGCCCTGGTGCAAATGGTCATGCTGAGCCTCAAATGCGTGAACTTGCGTACACTCGCACCCTACGTCTTTATCAGCCAGGGTCACCGGCTCTTTGTGATTCTCTCCGTCTCTGCGGAGTCCGGCAAAGCAGTCGCCTTTTGCGCTTTCGCATTCTCAGCAACGTTCCTGGCTTCGAATTTGTTGGCATTGTGAATGTGGGTCGTCCCGCTGGCTGACTTGACGAAGAACCTGATAATTCGACATGCCTGAATCGATGGTATACACGGGTGCTCAAGCAACTTGACCACTAGTCACCTCGTGTCGTGGCATAGAAGCACCGGGTCTGATGGTCTTTGTCGATCCTGGTCAACACCCTTTCAGATGCACATCCTTGCCGGCTGCTCCAACTTTTCTTGACAAGCATAGTCTGTTTCAGAGCTCTTGTCCCCCTCCTTTCAAGTGTTTCATCGCTTGCCATATACTCAGTACATGGCTTTAGGGCCTCCGACTCTGGTGCATCCAACAGATCTATTCCGAGCGTCATAGCCATAGGCTACGGCTGCCGCGGTCGGCCTTTGCACCAGCCACAAGGCATTCTCTTCCCTGCTATCTTCTAGCCGAGTACAGTGAGGCAGGGCGGACGTGCACGGCACTTAGGCATGAGCTCGTTGATGATTCGGAGAATCCTCGATTCGGCAACTCAAACGTACTTACATGCGCGTCGCCTCGCAAGCTCCCACAGACAGCAACTGACTTGGTGGCGAGTCTCTCAAGCCCCGCATGAGCCGCAGCAGTCTTCACAGCTGCGCCTGACCATATACTCGAGGGGTACAGCAGATGTCATTCGTCGATTCTGCTTGATGCGGTCCAGCAACGCTGTCTGTCGTTGAAGAAGGCCGGGACGCTCACGACCTCACTGTGAATGCTACTTCGAGCTACTCACAGATCACAGAGGGAGACATGCCACGTTCCACAAGCACGGCAAGCACGCTTCACCGGCTTCACCCAATTGTTTTTGCGCGGTGCCGCGTCCGAAAGTCTGCTCGTGGCCGGCCTTGCTGGTGAACATGTCAATGCTCATTCGCAGCAGCGGCCGGAATGCTGCTGAAGTTCGCGGGAGCTCGTTGCTCTAAGATGCGACATGATTGTTGTTGGCAGAGCGCCGAGTGTCTCCAGCGCAGATTGCGGGATGATCTCGGCATGTCTCGCCACGCCTCGCAGCACCTCTGAGCACCGTGTTTCTTTATCTCGCTGCTCCAGGACTCTAGGCTTGACTGAAGTCGGACGTGCCAGACTCGCTCCGCAGGGCCACCAGGGAGGATCTCTTGGCCTCGGCTGCAACTTGTCTCGAATCCGTTTGGCCATGGCTTAAGTCGGCTGCAAATCTGCCGAAAGCCAAGGGGCCCAAGGGGCTCCACGCTTCTGGCGCAGCTTCAGCTTCGCAAAATTGGAAGCCCTGAGTGGGAGGAACTGATGGAGTAGCCTTGACAGAAGCGTCGGATGCCGATAGGACAATGTTTTGGAGTGGAGGTCCGAGAGCAACTCGTCAAAATACGAGTGGACAGAGGGTGTCGCCAGAAATGTGGACGTTGTCGTCGGGGCAAATCTGAGGCGCCAGGCCCGATACTTCCTCGGCCACCAAGCACTTCAAACAGACTACAAGCATCAACAGCCAGGGTGAAGCACCGAATTCTGGTCCGAGCTTCGCAGAGAAACGCTCCCTTGCTTGCAGGTTTGGATACTCAAACTTCCCAGCCAGCAAGCCTGCCAACCATTCGGCTTGCACAAAGCTGGTGACGATGTCACAGGTGGAAAGGACGCGCCCCAGGAATGCCAGATTGGTCACATCGCCAGTTGGTAGGATGAGCTTGTACAAGTCCTTGCAGCCCGACTGCCCGCACTGACACGGCCCAAGGATAGAATCGAACACTAAGCGTGTACTTGCTACCTTGGGCAAGGCAGACTTTTTCCAGTTCATCGTTTTCCTGCCAAACATCTATGCCTAACCACAAACACGCAGTATGCGGGGAAGAGGTGGCAAACCAAACGGCCACACACTTAGAGGCTGCCATACTGAGGTTTCAGCGATTCCGTTGTGGCTGCGATTCCATTGTGGCTGCTCAGATTGAACCCATATGCCGTTGAGTCTGAAGCGACTCCTGAAGCTGAGAGCGGTATGAAACGAAGTCCCTCGGGAAGTTCTGCTCTCAAGCGTAACTCGGTCAGAAGCTCAACTTTGAAGTGAGCAGCCGGGTAGCCGGGCCGTCTTTTCGAGGATCGAGCACTTCTGCCGCCTTCGCGTCAAAGAGTTTGGACCACGCCTCCCGGTAGCCTGTAGCAAAAACGACCACGTCTGCAGAGATCTCCTCCCAGCACTGCTGATTACCACTGTTAAACTTCGTGAATTCTGAACAACACCTGCCAGTGCTCTCGTGCTTGCAGAAGTTTCGAGGCTGGTTAGCAACATCCAAGTACAAACTGGGTCAGGCCTTGGTAAGGATTGCTAGAGTATGTTAAAGAGTGGGCGCATCCGGCACAGCCTCTCAGACGACAGGTTCTACCAAGCTACCGAAAGATGATTGCACGTGAAGGGCACCTTCTCCTGTTTTCGAAAAGAATCCTGTACGACCACGCTGCCGGTCTTCATCTCAGAGATGTGTCCGCGGATGCAGTGCGTGCTGACACTGCCGAAGACGGCCTGTCAGGTGGAATCGCCGATAAACTCATCAAGAGTGAGTGTTCGAAAGTTTCAGGCCTTGATCTTCGAAGCATTGCAAATTGAAACAGAATGTCCTCGGCTACTCCGAATGTTTCTTCATGAAGCTGCCACAGCAGAACACACTCCGCTCTCAAGATAGCCGAGACACCATGCCACAACTGCCACCGAAGTCCATACGCTGGCCACATCGACCAAGGCAGGAGGAAGTGACACCTGGAGCCACGGATCCTACGGTTGAGAACTGCGATTCTATGTGAGCCATGGCACCAAACCAGTGGTGCCAGCACCCACCACAGCCTCAAATCGCAGCTTCAAATACACCCCTGGATTCTTGACGATTCTCCTGGCAGCCGAGGCACACGGTCTGCAGGGGCAGCACTATGTATCCGAGTAGACGAACCAGCAGACCTTGCCAAATCCCGTGCCACCGTCTTGAAAAGCAGAGGCCCTCAAGCCCCAAGTTTTCAGGAGCTTCAGCCTTTGGCCATGGAACCAAACATTGCACATCTAAAGATGCTGCTGCGCGACAGGCGTTGTGGTACGGCGGAAACACCAGCTTGGCAAACCAGCCTAAAGAACCAGGGTCCCCACCGGTCCCCACCCCACCATGTCTACGAGCCATACAGCAAAACATCAGCCCCAGATTGTCAACATGCTGCGCGTTGATGCGAGCCATTCCAGCGGCAGGCCAAGAAAGCGCTGTGGCAGTATCCACGCCGGGCGACGTGCAATCAGAGTTACCTGAACCGCTGCATGCTTCCCGGAGTGTCTGGACTTCGGACCCTCAAGCACTCTTTAAGTCGACACCCTTTGCCACTTTCCATCTCGCTGTGCTAGGCAAGCAAGCCTCTCTGGGACTGACATGCGAACCGATTGCTGATTCTGCTTCTGCAGATGCCAGGGCGAAGCAGTCAAGAGCAGACTTGCCAAAGCCAACCACGACCACGTGACGCCCACGCAACAGCTTTTCGTCTTGAAGCTCGGAGCTGTGAAGAATGCTGCCGGAAAACACATCGCTGCCAGGTATCTCAGGAACATACTTCTCCGAAAAATTTCCAACAGCCAGGACCACAAAGTCAAATTCTTCTGTGTACGTCTCGGAGCTCCCTGTTTCAGAATACACGACACGCCAACAGTTCGAACAGCGCTGCAGAAACTTTACTTCAGTTCTCGTGCGTATTGCGGGCATTAGTCCAAAAGTTTCCACGTAGGTGTCGCAGTGGGCCTTGAGCTGTCGACCAGTAGGGTACATGTCCAGACCGCTGTGCCCACACAACTCGACAAAGGAGTACTGGTCCCTTTTCACCTGCAAGACACATGGGCATGCTCGTGAAAAGACCAGAAGTTTCTGAAGACAGTTGCTACCCTTGATTGCCAGATGCCATGCATCGCAGTCAGGGTCCCAGCCTGAGCCCCGAAGCCACTGTAGTTCTCGCGCCAAACACCACCAACTTCATCTGCACGCTCGAAGACCGCGATCGTCTGACAAATGCCGATCATTAACTCAGAACCACGCCACAGACACAAAACTGAAAAAGAATACTGGTGCTCTATGTCTACTTTGCAGCAACGGAAAGTTTATTCTCTCATGGATATATTGCACCAAGTGAGTTGCCTTCATGCGTCCGATTCACCCGCAACCTTTAGCAAAAGGCCAGGAGTAGCTACAGCTACAGGGGTGTAGATGTTTTGTTGGCCCTTTTTTTTGGCCCTCTTTTTTTTGAGGGGGGGTGGGGGTGCGGCTGGGGGTTTTGGGTTTGGGGGGAGTTGCCTACGTTCCCGGATTTCGGGTTTAGGGGGGAGTTGCCTACGTTCCCATAGGAAAACTTCTAGTTTGCTTATATTCTCCTAATAAAACCGTCTTTTATCTAGTTTTAAAGTGGAAAACCAGGAATTTTTCGATATGTCCATATCTGCATCCATAGACCTGTATTTGTCCATGTTTACTTCTACGTTTACGCAGGAAAACAAACGAGTGAAGTTGTTTTGGGGGCATTTCTCTTTGTTTGGTGTTTATTGTTGTTCTTTGGTTTGTTGTCTTGGTTGTATAGCTTCATAAGATTAGTACCACTTTTTGCAGGAGTTCCTATGAATTCTGTCGTTTTGATTCGTTTTCGTTGTTTTCCACGGAAAAACATAATTTCATATATCTTTTCATAGGATTAACTCATTGCTTTGTTGTTGGTTCGTTTTCTAGGTGTTTCCCGTGAAAACCAACATTTCCCACATGAAGATATGTATATCAGTATGCTTGCTATTACCCATAGTCTTGTTGTTCTCCCTGCGTGTTTTCGTTCTTTCCTTCCTTCCGTCTGCCCTGTTATGTCCTTTTCCGTCCTTCCCTTCTTCCTTCCTTGCTTCCCACGGAAGGGCAAAAAAAATGCGAAAAAAACAAAATAAAAGTGCAAAAAGAAGGGTCCCCCAGCTACAGCATCAAATGAACGCTATGATGACCAACTGGACAGTATTAAACTCTAGACTCTCTCCGCTGGGTCCAGCACCTGTGGCACGAAGAGACAACCACGAGGCCTGCATCATGAGCATCAGTTCAGCCAGGCTAAACCCCTCCGTGGCAGAAGGTTGTCCATCGGCCAGGCCACACCGCCGTCGCACTAAGAGACAACCACAAGACCAGCATCATGTGCATCAACTCGCCCAGGCATCAGCTCGGCCAGCGTGGCACTAAGAAACAACCAAAGACCAGCATCATGAGAGTCAACTCGGCCACGCTCGACCACCCCAAGAGACAATCACAACCCCAGCATCACGAGCATCAGCTCGGCCCGGCTCCACCACCGGGGCACGAAGAGACAACCACAAGGTCAGCATGAGCAGCATCATCAGCTCGGCCAGGCATCGTGGCACCAAAAACAACCCCAAGGCTAGCATCATGGGAATCAGCTTGGCCAGGCTCCACCATTGTAGCACTCAGAAACCAGCACAAGCCCACCATCATCAGCATCAGCTCGGGCAGGCTCTACCATCGTTACCACAGGCCGGCATCATAAGCAGCAGCTCGGCCAGGCCCCACCAAGGCCAGCATCATGAGCATTAGCTAGGCCATGATCCACCACCGTGGCAGACAAACCGCCAGGCCAGCATCATGAGCTCAGCTAGGTCAGGCTCCGACATCAGGAGCATCAGCTCGGTCCAACGTTCACCACCATGTCATCAGAACACAATCCCCGCACATCATGAGAATCTGCTCGCGGAGGATCCACTACCGTGACACTAGCTAAGGTTCCCGAGGGAGGGCTGCGAAAGCAGTGCGGGCTGGCAGCCCATGGCAGTGTGCATGCACACAAGATTCTCGTGGGAGGGCTTGGAAATCGGTGTAGGCACTCCTTCAATGCACTCAAGGAGGGCTTCGAAGCACCGCCGCCCGCAGGAGTGAATGCAATCAAGCCGAAGGCTCAGTCAAGCATCATGAGCATCAGCTCGGTCAGGCTGAACAACCACCACACTCGGATAGGATGACAATGCTGGCATCAGCACCAGCTGGGCTGAGTTCCACGGAGCTCCGAGAAGACGACAGGGCCGGTATCGTGAGTGCCACAGCACGCAAAGACGACAACGATCCATCATCAGCCGACGCTTGCGCGCAATGAGCAAGTCTCTGCCTGTCTCTCTGCATAAACGGACAATATGCATATCTTTGATATTGATTTTTCGGTATGTCAGGCCTTCCCAACATGACGAAAAAACACACACATGCACTGTTGACTGTTGGCATTCCATTGTGTTTGGTCCGCTGCGTGCTCCTCAGCAAAGCCGTCGGTCGGCAAAAACGAGAATGCGTTGCAGTATCGGCACGTGCCACGACTGGAAATGAACAAAATTAAGGACCCATACATGCAAGAATGTGCAGAGCTGGACTACGCACAAATGATCAAGGTGCGGCGAACTTCTTTCGGTCTGTGCGAGTTGAAGCTCTTGCAGCTCCGCGGCCAGCGGAAACTTCCAACCCAACTTGCTTGTCGGTGCTAGGTGACGGCCCCTGCTTCCCTTGAGCTCAGCTTTCCCCGCACTTCTTCACAACGCACGTGGTGACAGCGGTCAACCTTACAATGACTGATATTGACAATCTGCTTTGGGTTGTCGGTTGAGTCGATGAGAAGCTTAATAGTTCGGCATGCATATTTAAATGGCATGTGCAAGTGCAACTCATGTCATTTATCTCTGACGGTCATCTCGCGCCCGAGATTCAATTCGATTCAACCTGACCATTCCCAAGTTACCTCGTGCCGTAGCATGAAGTGCGGGGTCTGGCTTTTGTAGATCTTGATCAACACCCCTTTCCGATACACCTCGTTGCCAGTGGCTCCGATCTATGTCGGATGCTGCGCAGAACACAGACTGGCTCAGAAGATTGTGGTGCGAAGTGAGGGTGTGTAAAACTCCCCACCCTCCTTAATTCGGCTATCGTTTTTACTATTACTCTTATCGTTTTGCAAGACTTTGGATGACTTTGAGACTAGGATGTCTCACGCAGTCGTTATCGTCTTGTTTTACTCTTATCGCTCTGCAAAGAATTCAATTTCTCTCAACTTACGGAAGCATCTACGTAACAAATGCTCTCGGGAGTCTTTCTATCATCCCTAAGCCATCTCGGCTTCTTGTAGCACCAGCCTGGCTTCCACAAAGTCTCCGTCGCACACCGTCATCAAAAAGATGGTTGCGATTCATGGGCATGGTCACTTCATCTTGGGTGTCAGCATGTTTCGTGCCCCGAGGTCAACAAAGGCTACGAGTATCCTGCACAGTACAAGAAATTTGGCAGCGAAGGCTCCGAGAAAACATGAAGCCGCAGCTCGCAGCTGCATGCAGCTTCGGGCTTCAGGGGAACGGCACAAAGCCAAGCGAAACGCTGTATCGAAAAAACAAGCGTTCTGCCCTCGAGACTCTGCAGGCGTCATCAAGTTGATCGCGTTCCTTGAGAAACCGCTGATGGCACAATCAAAAAATCAGGACCGAAAGGAGGTTTTCAGCAGTGCCCTGGAGACCTTTCTCCACGTGCTTGATCATCATCTTCCGCGGAACTTCGATGTGAATACGTGCAGGATACGCGAGCCCAAGCCAGCACCCAGGTACCATCCCACAATCGCAAGAAATGACTCAACGAGACTTGACTGCACTCGAACAAAAATGGGCAGGGCCTTGACTTGTTGCACGTGCTGCAGGGCACGCAATGCTTGCAAGCCTGGCTCAGTGGAACCCGACACTCCAGCCACGTGTGACAAATCGCAACGTGGAATGCAGTCCCGACACCGGCAACACCCGCGCCGATGATGGCAATGCTCCGAGGCTCGTTGATGACGTCAGCCATGCAGCACTAGCTCCAGCACGTTGCTCTAGTGGCTGACACTGCTGCACCGGTCGGATGCTTTGACTTGACTGCGAATGCTTTTTGCCCGAAACCGCGTATCGAACTCTGCTTGGTTCGCAAACGGAGTTTGCGGCTGGCTGGCCGGCTCAAGCAGGAGGCTGCTGCAGAAACACATAACAACCGGATTCGCACATGAGGCAGCCCCGCCCTTGCTTAGGTTGGCGCAGCATGTTTGACGTCTCTTCCCAAGTACTTCTGGGCACGATCCTTCCTTGCGTAGCACCCGAGGCTGACAGGCTCGAACGAAACCATAGAAGCTTCAAATCATCCATTGAGACCAGAATCAGTTCTTTGAGCAGAAGGGCCGAGATCCTGAGTTGATGCCATTCGCCCTTTGGGGCCCAGGGGCAAGTGTCGCCCGAAATGCAGCCAAGCATCTGTTCGGGTCTCAGAACTTTAGCCTAGGATCAGGTGTCAAAACCAAGCTGACGCTCCCGGTCAGAACATACCCCGGGCAGTCGAGACACGAAGCAAAGCAATTTCAAGCAAAGACTCCTGGCCGTGGACAGCCACGCTGATGGCAGCGCTGCCATCGGAGTCGGCAACAACCTCTGGAGAGCTGCGAGGCCAACAGCTCAGCAAAGAGCCTCGACTCGTACAACACGGGGTACGGTGAGAGGCCGAGGGGTGCACCTTGAATGGCATCATCTTACTGTCCCGCTGCACGCCTGCGTCCTCAATGCGTCTACACAGACAGCATTGACAGCAGGTACACCGTCTCAGCTATGATGTGCTATGGCTGCAAGATGTAGGCTCTCAGATCCTTGTAGTCACGGCCAATCAATCGCTTGACATTGGACCTGAGCTCGCTAGCAAATCTTTCTCCAGCAAGGCAAGCTGCGCATAGCTTCACAGCGTTATCACCAAGATTGCTATGCCATGTCTTTGTTCAACGTGGCCACGGCACAGTGTCTGGGCAGGGGATGAAAGTGTAAGATCCTTTGCAGACTCGCCAATCAGAGGCACCTGCATGCAGGCTCTTCCGTCATGCGAAAGTGAGCTGAGCCGCACAGGCAGCCCGTCCCACAGGCCAGCGAAGCATCTGTTCAGACATAAGTTTCCTACGTTTTGCTTACCTCTCGGTCGACAGGATCTCACCGAGAGGGAAAAAGGTGGCAGGAAAACAGATGGAGCCTCTCGAAGCAGCTGAACGAAGAACAACTCGGATCTTCGAGTAGTAACTCCCGAGGGCATACGACATCTTCAGGCTCTCTTCTGAATCTGCACACTTGGGATTTTTTACTACAGCTTTTTGCCTGCCAACTCACACACACCGAACCCACCGAATGCATCCCAAGTACCGCCCGCCTCTTCTCCTGGTGTGAAAGCCACTGAAGAGGGCATAATCCTGCTGCCTGCAAATGGTGCGCAGAAAACATACTGCATGGCCAGTAGCAGACTCTGATGCGTTGCCTTCACTGCTTGGTATTATCTCGACTGCACCACTCCTCGGCTGCATCGGCTTGCAGTCACTCATGCTCGATCTTGCGCCACTGCATGAAAGCCGCTTGAAAACCGCTGCGCAAGAGTACGTGGTGCCGAGGTCAATTCCTTACCATGCCAGACGGAGAAGCAAGCCGTCCCCTAGCAACACCTGCAATTCTCAGAAGTCTCGGGCTTGGACTTCTCCCCTTTGCAACACTTCGTGTGCTTGTCAGCCCCATGTTTCCGTGTCATGTTGAATTGCCAAAACGCCTGGCAGTTGAGCTGTAGACTTGCCCTGGCAACTGCGACTCCAGGACACAGCTAGCTTCTGCAAGCAATGGGTGAATGCTTTGGCTGGACAATAACTCCTCTTGCGGCAACGATGCCGATCACTGGTCCATCGACAGTCACCTGCTCCCCCGCAGCCAAACCGGCTGCAATAAACACAGCCAGCGCGAAATGAACCGCGCCCGTCCATGACCAGCTCCTGCAAGCAACAGCAACCAGTCAGGAAACCCGCAGCGTTGATGATTCTGTGGCACGCCGTTCCACCTAAACGCGTCTGCAGCTGTGCTTGAAACTCTCCGAAGCACGCAGATTCGAAGCAGAAGTGGGTTTGCAACACATCCGCTCCGCGGCAGCAACATGCGCTGCAGGCGTTGCATCTAGCAAGAAGACAGCAAGACTGGAAAGATAGGTCATCGCAATACATCATGTCAGGCCGTGCTTAATCGGATGCCTGTATGTGTCTTGGCTGAGACCAATACTAAATCTCCGAAACTATTGCAATCGAGTTCAAGATGAGCGCCTAAGATAAAAGGACACAACTAGGTAGACACTCTTGACTTGCACAGCATGTCTTGGGTCAATGCTTGATTTGGCTCACTGGCATACGGCACCACACTCCACAGCTTGGACAGCTTGCCGGCATGCTCAACGCTTCAATTCTGGCCGATACCAGAAACAGACAAGCCCTGCTTTGTGGACTTCTCTCTCTCAGGTCTCCTGAGGTCAACTACGGGTGACTGGTGACGTCACACGTCAGACACCCCTCCTAGGTTCTCAAGGCGAACTGCGCAGCTTGTATCTGTATTACGGCATGGTTTCTGCTTCTTGTTTCGGATGCGCAGGAGGCCGAGACACTTGACACGAGCCCCTTATTCAGGCCAATGCATAGCAAGAATTAGAGGGATCGCCAACTGCGGCTAAATCATGCCAGTCTCTGGAAATGCATTGCTTTTAAATTACAAAGTACAGCTGGCTTTCAGGCTTGTACCACATATCTACTTCGCAGTCGACTTCACCAACTAACTTCTCCTTGACAGCATAAAATGCACATGCAAGGAAAATCACATTCACAGCAGTGCGTTTGACAATGCTGCACCTGTGCATGAGAGGCTTCCACAGCCGTCAGGTATTCGTGTGCGCTACACGATATTTTCAGCGAGTATCCTCCGCGTCGGCGGACGTTTGCCTTAGTGAATGCAGGGGGACGCACTCATGCCGACAGACACAGACACACACATGCACCTTGATCGTGATCATGTTAGCAAGGGAGTGCAACATAGTGCAAGGGCATGCAGCTCACCGCACGAAGGCACTTCCATGCTAAAACGCTAAGACTCAGACTTTAAGACTCCAGCTCACAGTCTGGCGGCCACCGCTCCACCACGGCCTCGGATGCCCCGGAGTGCAGTATACGAGTCGTGCTGCCGATGCTGCTTGACGCACCCAGACTCCGAGCCTGCGGCTAACACCAAGGAGCAGCTGCTCTTTTAGGGCGGGATCGTCCTACGGGGCCATCTTTGTCGAAATCAGGCCCAGCAGCCTTTAAGTCAAGAGTCGGCCTTCTGTGGTCCCCGCAGTGCAATCGTTCGCGTGCTCGACGGCACGGACCTCAAAACACACACGCGCTCCGCTGCGATGTGCTTTGTGCAATGTCCAGCTTTGCGTCAGACGCACCGCGGTGGCTCATGCAGGCGTGGGTTGCCTGGCGACTTCTCAAAGAGAAACAGCACATGCTCTTGCGGAGACTTAGCACCTTTGTTTCTCTCATTTAGCACTTTCCACGACCCGCCTGGCATTCCCGGGTTTAAACCTAAGGCTCAGGGCTTAAGCCCTGAACCCCGAACGGTAAAAGTCCTGAAACTCCTGAACCCTGCCCCCAGAAACCCCTGTGGGACACCCGCGAACTCCCTAACTAGATAGCCGTAAACCCCGAATCCTGAAACCCCGAATCCTGAAAGACCAACCACCTCCGAACCCTAAACCCGAAACCCTGAACCCAATGAACCCAAAATCCTAACTACGCGAAGCCCCGAAAACTCGAAAATCTTAAACCCTAACACCAAATCCACCCCGTCAGACAAAAAAAAATGAATACCAGGCTGTTTAGAAGCGTTGAAACCAATTCCCGTGGTTTTAAATTGTATCCGCAAATCCTACGTTCCTGAACAAAACCCTAAACCCCAAAGCCAGAAACTCCCAAGCCCCAAGTCCTAAACCCGAAAACCGTGACCTGGAGCCGAGAGAGAGCCTCCTCAACGTGAACAATTAAGCCCCGAGACCTTAAACCCTAGCCTACAAATCGCAAACCCCTAAACCCCAAACCCGAGAAAAAAACATCCTATAAACCCAAAGCCTAAATCCTGAAACTCCCGTCCCCAATTCTGTGTCCAAAAGCGTTCACAGCAATGAGTGTCGACGACACTCATAGTTTCATCTATCCATCTACGCATCCATTCATCTGTTTCATTCATCCTTTACCTTTAGCCACCTCATCCATCCATCCATCCAGCCAGCCATCCATCCATTCATCAATTCATCCGTTCATCCGTGCATGCATTCATGCATGCATGCATTCCTTCATTCATTCACTCTTTCATTAACCATTCCCGCAGCTGTTGGAATTGACGGTGGACCGCGCTTATGGGAAGCCGAACATGTTCACCGAAAGGATCGTCACCGCGGCACCTTTTCGATAACGGTGCGAGGCCCATGTGTTGGTTACAACGGCTCGCGCCCGCCGGGAACCTTGGGCGCGCACGGTGCGGTGCAAACAGTGTAAATATCAATGCGATTGGAATTTACAAGGGGTCGTGATCTTCGGAGGAGGCAGACACTCCGTTACCGCAGAGAGGGGTTGCAAAATCGGATGACGAAGCAGACCCATGCTTTGGAATTTATAATAAACCGTGCTGATCGCACGAAACCTCGAGAGTGGTATGTTCGGCCCGCAGACGGCGCGTGTACTGGAATTTTAAAAAGGATCGCGCAGGCCCGAAACGATCAGCAGCAACTCCCGCTAACACTGCCCCGTGTTTTAAAACGTAATAAACTAGGTGGTGGGACAGTATCAAGGCATTAGTTGGCCGACCCAAGTCTAACATCACCACGTCACGTCATCCCAAACTCCTCTGCTGAAAAAGCTTTTACCACACTTTCGTGGAGGACATAAATAAAGCCTCAATCCCCACCCTAAACCCTAAAAGCCCCAAACCCGCAACCCCGAACCCGAACCTCATCCCTGAACCTAGACGTAGCAGTCTGATAGACCCCCAAACCCGAAACCTGAGCCGAAATACCCTCCCGAAGCATCCAAAATACTGACACCAAAAGCACAACAAGACACAACCACGCAAAGCCCTGAGACCCCAACGTTTCCGCTGTGCAAACCCAATATGTTTAGGCTATCAGGGTTTAGGGTTTAGGGCTGACCTTCAGGATTTGGAGCATTCAAGATTCCGACACCCTTTAGGGTTGAGGGTTAAGGAAAAGCAGGGTGCCAAGCCATACAAAACATGGAGGATGCGAAGCGATTGCAAAAAAGACGTGCTGCAAGATGGTGCAAGGGACCCAGCTTTCTGAAAGGCCGATGGCTGAGGCCTCCAGGCTGACTGCCACCGCCTTGGGCGAGAGCAGCTCACACACCGCATCCACAAACTGGTGGGTGAGGCGTTCCTGACAGTCACAAGTCGCAGCGTCACATCCCAGGAACCTGCGTGCTGCGCGAGCTGCGCGAGCTGCGCAAGATGAACGCGCCTGGAGCTGCAGCCGGCGGGCGAAGACCTGAGCTTTTGGGGTTCCAGAGGTCAGGCATTCTGACAACATCCATCGCTAAGACTCGGAAATCTCGAAGGCCCTTTTCCCATTCTACACGAAGCCACGATAGCAGGCCCGACTCGCACGCTTCTTAGCTCTTCAAGCAGTCAGCGAAGGCGATGAAGTCTGCAGCGTAGCCCCATCAGACTGGTCCTCCAAGATCTTCGGTCACCTACATCCCGATACACGCCAACTCGATCATCTTCAGGTGCACGATATGCACGATCTTGTCGACTGCTTCTTTGAGATCCATGTGATGGTGGTCCACATCTTGCCCTTGTTGTGAAGAGCCGCGTCCAGTCACAAGTCGTCCTGAGATGAACCAAACAGGCTGCAAACAGCTCTCCATCCGACAAGTGCTGCCCGGATTCCTTGGGTGGAGGTTCAGAATCTTCCGCCTGTCAGAGGAGCTAGATGCACTGTCCATACACTGAATCTGCAAGCCTTGTTGAGATGCTGCTTACTGGGATGCTGCTGGTTCGGGATACCCTGCAACATGCTCCCAAGTTTCGGTAACCTGCCCATCTTGCCACTGGCCTCGTCTAGACTCATCTCACCCTTGTCGAGATCATCCTGGTGGCTAGCTACAGCCACGACGAATTGCCGCAGCTTCGTAGAGATCAAGCGATCAAGACCCGACATTCACCAAGCTTCCGTCGGTGGGATCCTGCCAGCCAGGTGCCAGCCTAAGCTCACTGGGTGGCGCGGGGCTCAGGGCTGGCGTGGGACCCGTGAGGATGTAAGGACATCTAAGGCGGCTAAGGAATCAAGGACGGGACCCAGGAAATCGAAGAGGCGACTCCAGGCCTTGGCGCTCGCGTTTCTTCGCCCTTCCTTCATTTCCAGATTTAAAGCACGCGGCAAGGGATGCTTGCTTGGCATCGTATGCTGGTATTCCCAGCTCCACCTCCCTCTCTGCGAAGCTGGAGAAGGGATAAGGGCTCTCATTCCTGATGCCAGGTCACATGCTGAGAACTCCATCAGTGAAGCCGGCAACGAAGCTAAGGCTCATGAAGGAGTGGCCCAAGTCATCCTCAGATGCCACCATGGAAGGCTGGACCCGAAAGGCAGCTTTCCATAGTAACCGCAAGCTCTACCGAGACACGTTCACACACAAGTTCGGCCAACGTATCTGGCAAAACCCGGGCAAGTATCCTTTTCTGCTAACCAACACCATTAAAGGTTCCGAGCCCGAGTAATCAAAGTGTGAGCACATGTATTCTTGCTCCCATTGCCAGCACTTTCTGCTAACATGCTACAACGCAACCAGATAGAGTGGCACCAAGCAACGTAGACGAAGAAGGTTGCATCAGGATTCCCTGCAGCTCGCAAGCGCTCTTCCAGTAAACGAGCAGTCGTTGCATCCTGGGCAAGCGGAGTCAGCAGTTGCGCACTGTGCATATCCCAAGCAGCAGCTGGCAGAAAGCAGATGCCGAGAAGCTGGAAGATAGCTTCCGGCATCAGCCGCCCCGAAGTGACCCTGCACCGGCTTATCTGCGAGCATGTCGACATCCAGCGTCTCAGGGCTGACCCCAAGAAGCCTCAAAATGCATCACGCTTGACCTCCAATAATTACTCTCCATCCATCGACGACGCACGCGTGGGCTCTGCAGCGAAGCAACGCCCCATTGCTGAGGAAAGTCACTGCACAGGAGATGTCAGATGATGATGCCAAACCCGCGAAGGTTATCGCGCCACCCATGCAGAATCCTACCTCGCATCTGCCACCAGTTTACCACAGACCATCCACGAGCTGCAGCTTCTCAATGCAAGCCGAACTGCTATGCCAACTTTGGGAGACCTCTCGGATTTCAGGTATGCTGCAGCTTCACCTCATTTCACAAGCGCTGAAAAAGATGCACATCTGCGAAAATAGGTCTTTCTTTCACAACACCTGTTTCAGCTTAGATGCTAATTTCATTTACAGCGCCTTCCAGGCTCACATTTTCCGCGAGAGCATTGGCATCCAAGTCTTTGTCGCCCACTCGACCCTGGATAGAGCATTCTGGTACCACAGCGAGCCTAACGGCACTTCGAGGCTCACGGATCCTTGTGGAAGTCGACGATGAGCACACGGAAGCCTCCTTCTTCTGCAATCCGCGAAGCCTGACTTAACTGGCCCTTGCTCTCGGCTTGGGCCCAGCTCACTTCACGACATGTCGCAGCCTGATTCCTGACATCCTCGGTGACCCCAATCAGCTCCTGTGAGGGACTCACTGCGCCTCGCCCTCGTTTGCAGCCGAGATATGCCCGGCCGAGGCTCTGGGACCACGATGACGCCCGGATGCCCCAGCGGCCCTCCAACAAAGGCCACCGAGTCCTCAGCCAAGAGCCAAGGGCCAAAACCTTATGCGCCTGTCGGCAATCACTCTTACGCTCGCTTTGCATCAGAGTTCCTTTCCCAGCTTCACCTCACCAGGTGAGTCTGCGAAAGGACCGATGCCCATCATCGACGCTCGAGAAGCTACTAACTCTGAGTGGTCCAGTTGCTTTGTCGAATGTAACGCAGTGACATCGCCAGAAGATGTGCCCCAGGACGACCACGAATGGCAAGCCCGGCACCATCATCAGCGAGTGGCTGTACACAAAACGTCCATGACTGGTTGTAAACCACGAACTATGCACACAGACACGCCAAAGGGCGACTTCCTTCAACTTTCTCTGTGCCTCAATGCACTCTACTTGCTGTCTTACATGGAACTTGAGCCTTCTGTGGACAACACGGCAGCCTTCGGAAAGGATACTGTCCAACTTGTAAATCTGCCCTCAAGCGACTGATGTCGTCAAACGCCACTAAGTCTCACACCTGCAGCAGTCTGGCAAACTTCGAAAGGCCCAGGACCCTTCACATTGGGCAAGCTCGCTTCAAGTCATGCCACATGCCAATAAGATTCAGTTGCGGCATGTTGCAGTGCCTTCCGTCTGGGAAGTAGGCAATGTGCGCAGTCCCGGAGAACGGAAGGAGGTGATGTTCACAGAGAGAGTGAAAAGGAATGTCCTCACGGCTTGCCAGCGATTCTGGCAGAAGCATGCAGTGCGAAACTGTACGGATTACGGAGTACGACATGAAGCGCGGCTGGCTGTCTCGCACGGCCACCAGATCGTGAGCACCCTCCACCTGCGACTTGGAGTCTGCAAGTGTTCTGGTGGTGCTGAGACCATCTGCTGGAATAGATTTCTTGAGCTGCAAGCCTCGAAAACAGCGTCACCAACTGCCTCGAGTGGATCCTCCGACGCTGAAAGCGACTGAAACCAGCACTTAACAAAAAAACAGAGATGCGTCCTTGATGCTAGTGCCAGCGGTCATTTCCATGAAGGCCTTCGCAGCACCTGTTCATAGTCGCAAAAAAGCTTCTTGCAGTATTGAGTCTCCGCGTGATTGATTTGCCCCAGGGCCATGGCGATACGGAGTCTTGTACAGCTCTGGCCGCGAAGACTCCTCGTCAAGTATGGCATGTCATCGTGGCACGAACTCCGGATATCTCGCAGTGCGTCTGTGTGTCCTCTGGGCCCAATGTCGACAGCAACTGCCGAAAGGCTTCCTGTGGCAAGATGATCTGGCAGCACTTTCACCGCCAGCCGGTCGTTGGAACCTCTGCCAAAGGATGCGCAGAGCCAGCAGGTCGCTGGAAGTTCTTTGACCTCGTAGGCAGGCGTAGGAACCCTCTTTGGACACCCTCTTTGGACTCGGACCCCGAGTCGCAGGCAGCTGCAGCTTCAGGGGACGACTGGGCGATGGAACGAACTGTACCTACGGAAGCGAAAAGCTTCACCGCTGCAGCCCCAAAAAGCTGCAGCTGCCTCGGAGCTTGGAGATGCCCTCGGCCTCAGTGAATTTTGCTCCTCTTGGAGTCCGTTGCCCCATCCCCTTTTTCTCGGTGGGGCCCAGACAGCTCCCGCATGACCTTCCAATGTCTCCAGCGCGGGAGTACCCTTCACCAAATGCTGCCCCTGCCTCGTCGACCGGATCGTCCATGCTGCTCACCGGAACCATACCTTGGCAAGAAGCCGAGCAACCCCATGGCCTTTGATCACGAAAGGAAGAACCGAAACATCTGAGGCAAATCACATGGTCGCGGCACATGCCTCTTGAGGCGGACCTGGGTCATAGATCTGACAACAGCTGAGGCGTGCAACAGCTCCACCACAAAGCATGTGCTTTGTTCGGAAAAGTGGCAGGGACGGCGAGGCGCTCTGGTCGTAATGACGTCATATGGGCTGCCTGTGGTCGCCAGAAGAGCAGCTACATGCGAGGAAAGCGGGACAAGTGCGAGCACTACAAAAAGACCCCGGCTCCCTGGCCCGGACGCTCAGAAACCTGAACCTGGAGGGGCATGCTGCGTTCTGGTGGCGTGTCTCATGACACTTCTCGAAGCTCCTTGCCTCCAACCATTCGCAGCCACGCTTCTGCAAGAAGCTGCCAATCCTTGAGATGACCTGGCAAGCTGTCGCGCATCCCCATGTGCTTTCGTGCACCGGTGCCCGTTTTTACAAGCAGGCCTCTGACGCAATGTATTCTGCTAGCTCCTAGCACTTGAAGCCGACGTCCAGGACGTGTGTAACCGGCATCACAGAAGTCGATAACTTAAGCGGGTCAATCACATTGAGCCTTGCACCTTGCAACCTTACATGAATCTGTGCAGAAGAATGTCCTCTGCAGTAGTGTGCACAATTGGAAGCAGAACGCAGTCCTCCACAAATCATTTCTGTGGCAAACGGAAATGGCATCTGCGTGAGCTTGAAAGACTACACATGGCAAAGGGAATGTACGCCCTCAACCCTGTCAGGCACGTCCTGCCGAGGCAGCACCATTCTGACGCCACCCTGGCACTGTATCTCCAGCTTGTCTGAATTAGAGTCCTCGGCGGGGAGACGGGGAGAGGACGAAGCATACGAATCTGCAAGAACCTTCAGCGTGCCTGACAAAAGCAAAGTACGTCGCTCTTCGCCGGAAGAAGAGTCCGCTGATCCATCTCCTTGCAAATGCCTCGGATGACCTTTCAGCAATTCCAGCTGCTGGAATGCAACTTATGACTTATGCAGTGGACCAACTCCGCAACATATTATGCGCACAGAGCATCGCCGCCTTTTTCAGGTCGCCGAAGTCGACCACATAGCCATCTGCCTGTCGCACGAACATTAGCAATTGCAACCCCTGCTGAAAGCAGGACGCATGAAGCTCAACCACCAGATAGCATGCATTTGACGCCTGAGGCCGCTTGGAGCCAATTCGTGCACCTACTGTGTAGTTGTGACCTGCGCAGCATCGCAAATTCAATACTGATGCTGCGCATGGGCTTTGGGTCCCTGAGGGTTGTACCATGCAAAGGTTCTCGGAAACCCTCAAAGGCGACAAAATGCGCGGCAGAGAACTTCATGTCTTGCAAGGCCACTGCTACCTGTCACATCAACTCGACAGCATGGGGATTGCAATATCTGACCATGCAAGACTTTTTGGCAAGCTCATGCAGTATCAAGCAAGTTCTACGAGCAAGTCTTGCATGGCCAAGGCCACACCTGCCAGGACGTGTCACTGTGTGGTGACGACCTCCACCAGACTCGAAGCGCAGACATGCATACTTGGGACGGTTTCACATAGCTTCAGAAAGTCCGCAGGAGAAGTTTAGAGACTGTGATGGACTGTGGTGAAGAATCGGGCTGTCAGAAGCACATTCCCGTGTAGATGAGGATTCTTTGGAAGGCCTGGGAAAGGCGTCATGGCCATCAGCCATCGGCCAGGACGCGGCCCGGCACCTGAGGGTAGCCCCGAATGCTTGCCGGCGCAAAAACAATCCCTGGGCTCCCAACAAGCTGTCAAGTGTGCTAAGAGGGGAAAAAACAAAACTGCCACATGGGCCTCGATCCCAGTGCTGAGGATTTGCCAAAACACATGTCAGTGAAACCGGTGCCTTCTAGCAGAGACGTGCCTCTTCGTGGTGCAGCAACCCCTTTTCCTCCGCGCGGCACTTTGGCCTCCGGGACTCTGCGGAGCTCTGAGCTCTCTCAGGCCGAGCTCTCTTCCTGCGAACGCCTTCGCACAGGCTGCAACCCCCAAGACCCCAAGGTGTTTCAGCAAGAGGCCTAGCCTAGAGTCCTGAGCAAAGCGATACAGCATGATACAGCCCCGGCAGCTGAGGAGCCCTTTTGGGGGCCAGATTCGCTGATGTTCCGCGGCTGACTGTAGCACTAGCAAGTAGCATCGTCTCCTCGGACACCTCAGGATCCGTCCCGTCTCCTTTCCTCCTCGGGTCCCGAAGATGAGGTCCGTCAGAGGTCCGTCAAGGAGCACGACGTTGGCCTTGACCAGCTGTCTGGTCATCCCCTGTGGATCTGCTTGACATGTTCTGCCTCGAATGTCAGGGTACGAGGCACTTCCTCCTTGTGGCGCCTTCGTGAGCCCTATCAGGAACTTCTCTCAAGCTCTCATACCAGTGGCCACTCCAAAATACTGGGTGAGACCAACGTGGTTCCAAGCAGCAGCACGCTTTTGCCGAATAGTCCTGAACGGACATCCGCAACTCACGCTCTTGCTGAACACCAACACGACAAATCGGCATCATGAACTCAGACTCTTTCGCAGGACACTCCAAATCCTCTACACCGTTCTGGCATAGCTCCATCAACCGTAGCAGGAGGTCGGCAGGATCGAAGTTTTTAGTGTTGTGGATGGAGAGGAACAGGACGGGCATGCCATCTGGATACCACTTCGGATCGAAATACAGCTTTTTATCCAGACTCCGTCTGAGGAGGAACAGGTTTGGCTCCAAATCAAACTTGCACCAGGAGTTGTTCACCTTATGTCTCCAGAGGTTGACATTCATCATGTCTTCGTCTTCCCACATGGCATTGCTCATCTCGACATGCCTTTTGACCTTCGCTTTTTCGCCTTTCCGAACAAGATCCAGAACACTTATGCCAGTCTGTTGAACCTGCTCCAAGTCAAAGACCAGGGTGGAAGTTTTTCTGCCCGTAGCAGCAAGCATCCTCTCATGCATGAGATCTCCGAACCACGGTATAGCAAAATAAGTCCAAGTTGGATGCGCATGACACCAGCGCATACTCTGAGGGCCGTCCCATCCTCTGAATGCATAATGCGCATAAGGATTTCCTGGCGTATCATCTCTTGACATCCAATGCACGGGGAGAATTGGCCAAGGATAGAATTCTGTGATCTCTCGGCGGGTGCCCTCAAAGACCTGATCCATGCCTTTGAAGATGAGCTGATCTGTGTCCAGCTGAATCCCTACTATAACCCGAGATGCGAGTATTGATCGAACCTTATTGAAGTTGAAGGAAACTCCGCGCGAGATGGGTCTCATGCGGTATGCAATGACGTTTCGCATAGACTGCCAAGAGGGAGGGGGCACGAATTGATCCCCAAAGATCACAATGATCAAGGGGCGAGTGGAGAACAAATCAATTGATCGGATCAAGTTCGTGGCCTGCCACTCGTAGTTGCTGTCCTTCGGCCCTCCCACATATGTTACATAAGCTTCTTCTATCCAGGGGGATGCCGAACTTGTCCAGCGAAGGAACTGCGACACGAAGTCACACTCCAGCCACACCTCCACCTCGGGCATTAGATGAGGATCCTCACAGATCTTCGCCATACCGCGTTCCAACAGATCTTCGGCGTCACTGTGTGAGTGGCCCTTTCGAGGCTTTAATGATCGCCTGTGATCGCATGACCAAATCAGTTCGTTCGGCTCTGCCTTCGAGCAGAGTTTGCTGCGCGGGACCAGGCTCGCCAGGCCCCCTCGTGGCATCCTCGGCAAGCACCCAGCCCTGCAAGTCTGCCCAGGGACTGGACAGTTTTCCTCCCGAAATGGCTGTCCATTAGGACACTTCGGGACCGGCGCTCGACACTGACAGTACTTCAGCTTGCCAGGAGAGAAATCCTGTTCTGGCTTCAAGCCATACTGACTATGATGGCAGAGAATGGGGGACTTGAACTCCTTCTTTTCAACCCACTGGTTGAGATCAAAATCACCGTACCGAGTTAGGCCTTCACAATGGCAAATCTCGCCCTCTTGAACGCAGAACTTCCAGCCGTCTGGCCGAAGCTTGTTGACTTGGCGTGTGATGCTCAGGGCATCCCGGCCCTCTGACAAGCTTGCACGCAAAGCCTTCAGAGCGTCCAACTCCTGGTGTGTTGCGACACCATTGATCCACGCGACCAGGTCCTGTCTTTCTGCCACCAAACGCGGCTGCACCAACTCGTCCCCACCTTGCTCAGCCTCATTGAGAGTTGCCGTCAAACGAGTTGAATCCTCTCTTTCTTTCGACTCGCTTTTGGGAGGATCTGCTGCGTAACTCAGCGTGGTCGCCGTTTCCACAGGTACAGATGTGCCAACTCTTGGAATCTCCTGCTCGGCTGGAGACGGGTTCAAATGCTGTAGTGTGAACAGAATCACCACAACGATGGCCACTCCTTGCAGGTAAGTAAACCAGCTGAGTTTCTTCGTACGCATCCCGCAGACCTAGCCTTGCAGCGGAAGGTTCGACATCTTCGTCCTTGCATCTGTGCTTTGGGCAATCCATGATTCGCCTACACCTGAGCCAGTAAAGCTGGCAGCCACCAAAGTCTCCTCAAGGTTGTGACAAACTGATCGCTCGGCAAGCGCACGGCAGACATGTCAGTCACAAGGCATACTGCAAGATGCTGCAAGTGCCTATGAGTGCCTATCTGTCCGCGTCGTGCACTTTCACAGCGCATCCTGGCGGCGTGTGGCTGTCTGCACAGAAAACCAAACTAAACGACTGGCCAATTCAAGCAGCGTCTTCCACGGTATCAACAAACCCTTAACTTGTCGCTTTTGCTTCAACCGCGCCACAGGCATGCGAACATCTCTAGCTCCACTGTGATTGAAACTAGATTTCGCAAAACTGATGAAAGCTTGTGGGCAACACCAATGATGTACAACATGCATGTCAGTCAGTGTTGCAGTGATGATTGAACTTGTCCCTCGAGCTTCCACAGCACACATGTATGATTCATGCCGAAACTCAGGCGTTCTCGCGGCCAATCAGTCGCCACAGCGGACCGCGGCTGGACAACCAGCGCACATTCGTTCCATCTGGGATGAGACGACCCTGCGCCTTCCAGCTGTGGTACTCCTTCTTCGTGAAGCGAGTGAAGCCGAACTTGTTGGAGATGTGCACTTTCTGGCGACCGGCAAACTTGAACTTGGCACGACGCAAAGCTTCGACCGCAATGTTGATCTTCTCATCCTTGGTGCGCACAGAGATCAGGACCTGGCCGATATCCACTCGGGCAGCCGTGCCGTAGGGCTTCCCGAAAGCCCCGCGCATCCCACTTGACAAGCGATCCGCACCAGCACAGGACAAAGTCTTGTTGATGCGCAGGACATTGAACGGGTGAGGTCGGATGCGGATGTGAAAGAAGTCTCTGCCCGCATTGGTGATCATGTATTTGTTCACTGCAATGCGCGCAGCCTCTAGCGCCTCGCTGGTCAGCTGCTGATCTTCGTCACAAACCAAATGGGCCGTGGTAGGGTACTCGTCACACGGCATCTTCTTCTTTCCGACATCGAAAATTCGGATCTTCGGGTCAGGTACACCACGGCAGTACCGGGTCTTCGGGTACGGCTTGTTCTTGTTGTATCGGTAGCACTTCGCCGGACCTGGCAACTCATGCTGACACGCAACATGGTGGGAATCAGCGAGGAACGGTTTAAAGTCTGAGCAAGGCACGTCGACCCATGGCACCAAGTCGGCACTGCCACAAAAGCAGTGGAGCTTAAGAGATATGGCTGCGGCTACAGCAAGAGACATTCAGGAAAATGCCATCAACAAGGCATCTTTAATGCGGTGACAAAACTGTCACAGCACTGGTCTCCCTGTCCATTTTGCCGTGACCTGCAGGTATGTTCCACGTCCAGCACTCAGGCGTTCTCGCGGCCAATCAGTCGCCACAGCGGACCGCGGCTGGACAACCAGCGCACATTCGTTCCATCTGGGATGAGACGACCCTGCGCCTTCCAGCTGTGGTACTCCTTCTTCGTGAAGCGAGTGAAGCCGAACTTGTTGGAGATGTGCACTTTCTGGCGACCGGCAAACTTGAACTTGGCACGACGCAAAGCTTCGACCGCAATGTTGATCTTCTCATCCTTGGTGCGCACAGAGATCAGGACCTGGCCGATATCCACTCGGGCAGCCGTGCCGTAGGGCTTCCCGAAAGCCCCGCGCATCCCACTTGACAAGCGATCCGCACCAGCACAGGACAAAGTCTTGTTGATGCGCAGGACATTGAACGGGTGAGGTCGGATGCGGATGTGAAAGAAGTCTCTGCCCGCATTGGTGATCATGTATTTGTTCACTGCAATGCGCGCAGCCTCTAGCGCCTCGCTGGTCAGCTGCTGATCTTCGTCACAAACCAAATGGGCCGTGGTAGGGTACTCGTCACACGGCATCTTCTTCTTTCCGACATCGAAAATTCGGATCTTCGGGTCAGGTACACCACGGCAGTACCGGGTCTTCGGGTACGGCTTGTTCTTGTTGTATCGGTAGCACTTCGCCGGACCTGGCAACTCACGAGTGAAGTCCGTTCTTTGACCGTGCTGTTCAGCTAAGATCTCCCACTGCATGTTCCAAAGCTAGTCGTGCCAAGCTCGACAGCTCATGCCAAGCTTAAATTATCCTGCCCACATCATATTCACTGAGAATCTGACGGCGTCCCATGGTGAATCTCGAAGAGGCCCGTAAGGAACTACTACTGGGCTACTACTGCAGGACAACCCTTCACAGCCGAAAGTCCGCAGAAGGCGGGTGCTTCACAGAATCCACTGCAATCAAAACAAAGGCGAGACATGGCAAAGAACCCCACCGGCCTCGCCGTTGCCCGAGCCCGCCAGACATTGCAAACCCTGGCAAGTCGTGGAGAGTCGCATTTCGCACAACCCAAAAGTGTGTCAGATCCATGGAGAACATGCGCCGAGATGTCAACTAGAGGCCTTGATAGCTGCTGGCCCGGCGATTTCTGCAGCCTGTGCGTACGAAATGCTTGCAAGCAGTATATCAGTGATGCCAGTGCAATTCTGAAATTAGTGTAGCTGCGTAGCTGTCACGGAGCAACTGCCTCCCGATCAGACGCCCTCAAAGCCTTCCTTCCTGTCGGCCTCAGCCTTGGCAAGGTCCTGCCGAGAGGAACACGCGCAGAGGAACACTAACACATCGCGCATCCTAGCAGCTTCTCTCATCCCCACCTGCGTTCGCTTGCATTCAAAACCGTCCTCCATCAACTTCTCGTAGGCTCGCAGCGGGTCACACCCGAATCCGAAGCCTCCCCGCACCCAAACCAAACCTCACAAGTCTCTGTTGCCCGGCACCCCCTGACTCCAAAAATCTTCAAAAGATTACACGGTCCATTTCACCCGGCACGGGAGCATCTTTGGCTCGCAAGCGTTGACATGCATTTCATGAGACAACGCGTGGGCATAGCAGTGGATTTCACTACCAAGCAACGCCACAAAGAATTTGATGCAGCGAAGCTACTCACGCCCTCAACTCTTCGTCCGGAATGCTTATCCTGAAGGTGGCCTGCTGGGTGCTTTCTGTGGAATGTCGCAGTCAACACAAATCCGTGCGCTTTGGTGAATCCAAGCGGCGGCGATGGGACGGTGATCGCTCGTCCTGCAAGCGAGAACAAGCAATCCTCTTTATTTCCAAGCGAAAACAGAAACAAAGCCTAGCTCCGCAGCAGACGCCAGTTCAGAAAAACTCCTTCTGAGATCGCCGTAAGAGTCGTACTCCACCACCTCCACCTGAACTCTAGTAAAAGTCTTCCCAAAAGCGAGCCTATCTGCAACGGAACCTCATGCTGCACGATGCTCGGATTCAAGACCCTCTTTGCGACGTCAGTGGCCTGAATTTCCAGGCACATGAACGTCGGCAATAGCCAAGACCCGTTGCTGCGAGTGGCACCACAACAACAACTGCTACTGCTGCTGCTCCAACCGCATACAAGCAGCCGAGGGCTCGAATCGATAGATCACACGATCACACCATGCTGGCGTGCGAGCAGGGCTTAAATCACCTCCTCCCACCACATACCTCGCTAAGAAAACAGCACCGCATTCAATGACGAGCTCAACCGTTTGCTGGCCCAGCAACTTGTAGGTGGGCGGAAAGGTCACTTCTGCCTCGCGTAGTCAAGACACGTCACACAGGCCTTTGATCAGCCCTTGCTTGCTGCGATCTTGAAGTGCAGCTTGCATCGGTAAGAAACTGGCTTGGTAGCGATGAAAAGGAATACGGAACACGACCACAGGACGGAAACTCCTGTACCAACTTGTCTCATGCACCCTGACCAACGTCCCTGCCTCGCGGAAGCCCAGGGACCCTCGGGAAACACATCCGATGTTGCAGAATGAACTTCCGCTGTCGTGCAAGCAGCCAGGGCAGCCAAAGTGGCTGGCACACCTGATTCGGCCTGTCAGCAGCTCATCGTACAGCCTTAGCGTCACCACCTCACTGTGCACAGCCTCATCCCATGCTAAGATGCAACTAAGCAGCAGCCATGCCTCGGGTGGTCCTGAGGGCAAAATTTTTCTTGTTCAGAGGAGACGTCGGTGTCATGGCTGGCTGGTCCTTTCGGGAATCCATCGTCTGGCAGGTCCGCGAGCCGGGAGTTCAGGTCACCGAAAACGATCGTCAAATCGTGCTCCACGGCTGTGTAAAGAGAAGCTCTGTGAAAGCCATTCTTTGCTGGTCTCGTGGAACCGTTTCGGGATGTCCCCTGAAATGCATAAGACAGCACCTGCGGGACACGGCGCATCGCAGCACATCCACAAATCGCTCCCGGGCAAAGCAAAGGCCTCGTTGAGATGATCGTTCCGTTCGTCGGCTTTGCCAGTTCCCGATGGCAGATGGACGTTGGCGAAGCAGAGAGACATGGATCCCAGCAGGAATCTGACACAGAGGCCGCCCTTGTTCCCGCTCAATCCCTCGATGCCGGTCTTCACTCTGTCGCAGTCGATCGCGGCGACAAAGTCCTGCAGATCCTCCTTGGCATAGGCCAAGAGGGACAAGCCCACCATGCCGAAGCCTGAGTGCTTTTGAGTGCGCTTCTTGCTTGTATCCGCAGGTGGCTCTTGGCTCTCTCTTGATGTCCGCATGCTTCTGCTTGTTGCTGGAAACTGTCGCCTGCTTGCTGCTGTGCACCCCACCAAAGGTCCGGTCTGAGCCGCCAAGTAAAACTCGAATGTGTCGGTGCCCCCATCCATGCCAGGGGCCCTGCTCTGCTTCGTCTTTGTGACACGGTGGCGTACCCCTTGGATTGATCTGGCAAGCTAGCTGGGCGTGTGGGCTTGGGAGCCTGTGTGACAGCCCCGGGCGCTGCAGGGCGTGCCGAAGGAAAACCGGAGTGCCTTTATCGGCAGAAAGTGCTCAACTCACACACTGACAGTACTTGTTGGGATAACTTTCGCTACCCGACAATCAGACTGTCCCCGGTTCTCTCTCTCCCTACTGCCTCCGTGTCCTCTTCGCGTGCAAAGGAAGGACAGAAACACGTGGCACACTGGCATGCTCCAGTCTAAACTATTTTTTCTCTTCTGGGCAACTGCAGATCTTCAGGTAATGAAGTCCAGTTCCAGCCAGTGCGGCCTTGGCACGACACTCGCGATCAGAGCACATGAGAACAATTCACAGTGTCGGAGTTATAAGCCAACTGATAACACTCAGGGCGCAGTCCGGTCCCTAAACCCTTCCAAGGTGAAAGCAAGCCTGCATTGCAACGTGCCTGGGCACGGTCCCGTATCATACCTTCTTTGGGGGCATCTCCCTTCGCATGTGTTGGGCTAGAGTCTAGAGGGGAATTTTCGAGGCTCAGTAAAACAATGCTTGACGTGATGGCACTATGCCCTCGAGAAGCAGCCGAGTTAATGTGAACTTGCGTCATATTGTGTTCCGAGCTGCCTCTATTCTGTGCTCCAGCTCAGATTGCCTCTCTTCATGGCCGTCGGTGTTCATGAGAACAGACATTGGTCCAAGTTCCACGAGCTCCTAGTCAACATGCCACAAAGGCATCTGTTTCCAGCATGATTGGGCATGCGGCATGCCTACACTGGAGTCCTGAATACCAACGATGTAGATGTCCGCTTGCTTCCCGCCCGAGAAAAGCCAGGGTCGAATGTCATCTTCCGGATCAACGGCACACCCGTGAAGGTTCCAGGTACAAACCCGAACACTGACTGCACCTTGCAAAGAGCACAGGCTATGACTATGATAACACATGGCTTTGCATGGCTTCATGTGTCTTCAAGCCATGTCTCTGCTTGGCAAATCATGTCTCGAAGGTTGCTTTTGGAATCGTCCGTGCGTGGGCTGTGAGGAGCTTGCCGTGCTTTGCATCTGTCGGTCCACCGCTGCACGGACCTGAGAAACTCCTGAGAGACACAGCCGGAGTGACCACACAACTGTATTCGCAGTTGCTTGACGAAGACGATCCACATAGATCCTAGGTCCTTCTCGTAATCCTCTCTCTGCATGATTCTTGGCAACATCGACTGCCTGTCAAGGTGCGCAGAGTCTTCTGCGCTGGCATGGAAGTTTCTGCTGCACTGCTGGCACGTCAACATCGTCTAGAGTGCCTGCAGGAACTTGTTGCCAGCACGTTGAATCGTCCCCGTCTGCGCTTCCGACAGTCCCAGAGCTCCTGTCCAGTTCGACCACGCGCTGTAGCCACCTCGCTGGGACGTTCCGGGCAAACTGGAGACAAAGAAGCCGCAACAACAGACACACACACACACAGACACACACAGTGCCTCTGGAGCTTGCATCCGAGCCAGCCATGCAGTGTCACCAGCGCTCGCGCTCACTCATGGCTTCCACCCTACGTGTTAAGAGCTTCAAAGTCAGCTTGTCTTTGGAGTCGTGTTGCAGCGAGCACAACCCGTATCTCCCACACCCAGCTGAGCGCGTGTATTGCCAACACGATATGCGTGGGCTCTGTTCTGGAGCGCAGCCAAATGACGGAGACACAGCTGAAAGCCACAACACGGAAGCATATCCATGCCAAGCAAGCCGTGAAGAGTGCCTTCTCCTCCCCGAGCATTCTCCCGAATAACCTGCGCTCGCAACCCCAAGGTCTTTGCACCGCTCTGCACACGGTCAAACCATGTAAAACCTGCCAGGCGCACGGTGCCTGTGGAGTCAAGAATCACCAGGCGCGGAGCCTCACATGACAGTCTCGTTCCTGGTACGTACACAACAATGGAAACCCTGCCTCGGTCACGCAAAACGTCGTGAACAGCTTGACAATCGCTTCTCTGTTTTTCAACCTCATGATTGAAAAAGCACAAATCCGACCAACGCAAACCAGCAGCGGGTGCAGCTTGGCTTACCGTTAGCTGCAGCCTACATGCCCCGGACCATGGTTCTCTGCCTTTCACGAGGAGCGGCTTAGCGATCCCTTTCTAGTCTGTCGAACTTGTCCAGGAGAGGGTCCTTGAGTGTCATGGCCGAGGCTTCGTCGGCCAATGCAGTCCGCTCTGACCCTGTGGCTGCTTGTGCTCGCTCCAGCAGAGACGCAACCTTGAGTGCTTCAGCTTCAAGCCTTTGAACAGCTGCTTCAACGCTAGCAACTCGCTCCAGGGCCTTCCGCAACTCGTCCTTTGACGATGTTAACCGCTGTTGCAAAGGCACCTTCCTCTCCAAGATTGCACGCGCTCCATCCTCATCCCCATTCTGCAAGGCTGCCATGGCATCCTCAGACAGCTTCTCTACATCACCCTCCATTCTCACAAAGCTGGTGGCCAAGTCATCCTTCACGGAGATAACACGCTGCTTGTCCTCAATCGCATCTGCTAAATTCTTCGCCACCGTTCTGGCCAGATTAATCATGTCTGCATCCAGCCCGAGTGCTTCCGCCGAAGTCTGATCTGTACCCTGGCGACCCCAGTCTGCACCTAGACTTGCACCAAAAACAGCACCGAACGGGCCTAACAGCAGCCCGCCGAGTACAGATCCACCAACAGCACCCACCAAAGAGCCCTCTGCGGACTCCTCCTTTGGTACCTTGGAAGACACACGGCTTACACGGTTCAGACGCTCGAAGGTGTCACCTTCTGCACGGCGGCACACGCTGCCATGTGTCCGTCGCAGAGCTGTTCCCAACCAGACTGTACCATTGACAATGCAGCAAAGCAAGCCAAGAGCAATAGTTCGCTTTCTTGAGACTCGGTCAAGGCATGGCATGTCGGCCGATCCGGAGTTGTCGTTATGGAAACTCCTGGTCACGGCTGACCCTACAACTGCAGGATATGTAAGCAAGTGTGCAAGATGTGCTTAGATTCGGGACTGAAGGTAACACATTGAGGCTGGTTCGTGGCAACGCGACAAGAAGAAGAACACTTGCAACCATATACAAGAGCAGCTTCGAAGATCCAGTCTGCTCTGAGGGCCGAGCGGCAGAGACATCCATGGCATTTTGGCCATGTGAAGTTGCCACATGTTCTGCCACGATACTGGGTTTTGGGTTGATGTCTCACGTGACATGACATGCTCGAGCACACGGCCTCGTCGGTATCCAAGGGAATCAGGACAACTTCAAAAGAGCTTGCACCTCAGCTGCATCGGCTCATCCTCGTCTCTTGCCAGCCTTTTGCTTTGTGAGCAAAGGCGTGGCATGACACAAGGCATGCTCACTGCCGCAAGAAAGCACGAAAATCTCAGACAAGAGCCGTGGGTGTCACGAATTTGCTTGTAAGCCTGTGCCAATATCGGGGCGAAGTAATGGCAAGGCGGACACCTGGAAAAATCAGGAACAATCGACTTGCTCTGTTCGAAGCACAGAAGCTCATGCAGGCGTGCCAGGAAGCTGAGAAGTATAAGCCGATCAGTGTTGATGCCAACGCTTGTGAACCAGCCTGGCGGGCTAAGTATTGCCGTTACCGAACTGTGTGAACATCAGCAACTTATTCAGGCCCCGGCGTGTTCGCCTGTGTCACACCGAATCAGATCCCGCAACCTGTGGAGTTTACATAGTTGTACAATGTTTACCGCAGACGAGCACGAGGACACATAACTTTCTCAGGTGTGGTCCATGTGAAGTTGGGAGACGAAGAAATCCTCCGCTGCAATGCTTTCGTGGCTGCACTTTGGTCTGCTGAGGTTTGACCTCAACAATGATGCAAAGGAGCAAACACGTCAGCACGCCTTCTGCGGCTGAGCCTGGGGCTCATTCCAAAGAAAGCTGCATGTTTCACAACGCACTCTCATCACATCGCGGTAGGCCCAATTAACCAGGAAAGAGTTAATCATTGTCCGACAAACATATGATATCTACAACCTCTACAGCCCACAGAACCACAGATCCATGTCATGCCTGTGTCGCAACCGAATTAAGCTGCGGCGAGGGTTACACGTGCATTCAAAAAAACATTCACGTTGGAGTGCCACGACATTTTGTCAAGCTTTTGTCAAAATCGACCTGCAGACGATCTTAGCCGGCATGGGCACCGACGATGATAACTGTGATCACGCTGATGATCATTCCTGATGCGCTGATGACGAAGATGAGGGTTACCACTTCCACCGTTTAACCAAAACTCGAAGAAAAATGCACAACGACGATGAATACTAATAACACTCATATGCTCCAAAGGCTCCAAATGCAAATCTGCAAGAGAAGTACGTCATCAGCATCATGACCATGCAATGCTACTTTGTTCTTAATTCGGCATAACAAGACACTTTGACTCCTTCAACACCGGGCTGTGGCTTTGTCAACGCTTGAATATCTGTTCTGAGGTGCAAGTGGATTTTGCTCTAGGCTCTTGGTGGAAAGTTGCGTTTTCTTGCCCTGCCCTCCGTAAAGCCTGGAGAGCGCAATGCCCTGCTCGCCGCAAACCATGGTGAGCACCGTGGCCAAAGGTAGTCCGCCCCTGGCTCCGCTGTTTGGAAAGCATGGAAAGCGCAATGCCACATCACATCTAGCTCATGGTGAGAGCGCAATGGCCCAAGGTTCATTTCCCTGTCCAACGCAAGGCAAAAACCCGGATCATCTATTGTGAGTGCAATGGCCGCCTTGTTCGCACTGCAGCTCGTTCGTTTTTCTTGAGTAGTCTTACGTTTTGCCACTGTTTTTTGCATGTTTATTCCTCGAAAGTGGCTTAAAGGAAGCTTGAAGGAGCTTGGGAAACCAAAATGAAAAACAAACACAAAACCCAATCACGAACAAAAAAGAAGAAGAAACCACACGAAATCACTTTATAGAAGTTTTTGCGAAGGAAATAGTTGAAAAAAGAAGAATAGAAACAAAACGCATCGCAAACACAAAAAAAAAAGATTGAAGACGCACGGGACACAACTAAAGCGAGAAAAACACAAACTCAAAGAAAACACAATCACGAACACAAGAGAACAAGAAGCCATACGAAATCGTTTCACGCACTTTTTTCAAATCTTGCAGCCAAAACGTGGAGCAAGGCAAGTAAGTTGATCTGCTGCACACTTGCACAAAGCAATCGGAATTCGCTGCTGCTGCTTGGCTCTTCAGGGCGAACGCAATGGAGAACGGGACTCGTTGCGTTCACTTGGTGGTCTTCTGCGGGAGCCGTACATCTTCTGGAAGCATCCTCTGCATCTTACAAGCCTGGTACCGGCGAACGGAAGACCATACACGGGTTTGAGGTTCCTGGCGCTGTCGAAGCTGACCGTCTGATCGGTTTTGTCGGATGTAATCTCCGAAGCTCGGCCGTAAGGCGATCCCACGGAATCCAAAGCAGGGACTGCAGCTTGGAAGACTCAATGTCAGCGGCCCAATGAATACCCACAAGTCTCTTCTGGAAAGCAGCAATGCGCAAGAAGAGCCCAAAGCACGTTTCAGCATGCTGATTGGAGGGCGTTCATCCGTCGTACCAGCTTGAAGGGCTAACAAAAGCGAGAGCCCCGAACGTGTCGACATTGAGCTTGTTCAGGGGGTGCACTGCAGCCGACTTGAACAAAACTGCAATACATGTGGACAAAAGCTGTGAAGCACTCCAGATGCTCGCAGATCACGCAGCATTCCACATGGTAAGAAGGAGCACCCAGGATGGTGCCGAATACCGACGATGCGGAAAACAGCTTGCAAGACGCGTTCCAAGGTTGTTTTTGGCGTGTGCTGGCCTCGGTGACAGCGGCTGCTGCGCTCGGTCCCAGTAATAATGCGAAGAAGTACAATAACAACTAAAAATCTGTACAAAAGTGGACACATATCCGTAACAAGGTGAGACAGGCTGCGACATGCAGACTTAGCCGGCAGACGTCGTTCAGCCATAAAGTGCCCTACTCCAATCAACAGTGGCTACTCAGAAGCCCCGCTTCCCAAGATGAACTGGGTCGCGCAATGGCGCACATATTGCCCTGCTTCCTGTAAGTGGTGATGCGCAGTGACGCGCACATCTCAAGTGACCGATGCAAGATACCACAGTGATGCGTGCCCAGGGTGTCAATAAGGGCAACTGGCAGGCTCACTCCCACACATCGGGGCTTGTCATGCGCCAGTCGAGCAAGCACCGCGCCTGGAAACGTGTCATGGGCGAGAGAAGAGTGCACCCAAGAACGCGAAAGCAACATGAGCCCAGCTTCCCACCTTTGTGGGCCTCGCAAGGGCAGAAACGTACAGCCATGGTGGTCGGAAACACGGCCGTAAGTGGACAGACCACAAGCGGCATGCAGACATGTGGTAAGGCAGCGGGGAGAGAGCACTCTCCCAACATGAGTAAATCCCGAGCCCAGCTTCCCACCAGTGTGGGTCTCTCAAGGGCAAACAAGTGAGGCAAGGGTGGATGACCTTTGCAACGCGCTAAACGAGCACTGCGTCTGCGGAGCCAGCAGAGTGCAGAAAAGAAAGCTCCCACAGACGAGATGCAACCCGATCCCAGCTTCCCGCCCAATGTGGGACTCGCAACGGCAGAAATGTGCAGCCGTGGCTGCTGGAGACAGTGCCGCCTGTGGATAGCCGACAAGCGCAATTGTGCGGTAGGTAGCAAGTTGGGTGGCTATCTCCAAACAACGAGTAAATCCCGATCCCAGCTTCCCACCAGAGTGGGCCTCGCAAGGGCAGAAGTGTGTAGCCATAGCGGCTGGAAGAGGTGCCGCAAGTGGACAGCCCCCAAGCGACATGTACAACCAAGCAGGAAGGAGCGGAGGAAATACTACCTCCAGACAACGAGTAAATCTCGAGCCCAGCTTCCCACCAGAGGCGAGTGCAGGCGTGTGAAGGTAGTTGATGAAAGTCTTCGATGGGAAAGTACAGGCCGGGCTGGTCGCAACCGCAACCGTGACTCCTCTGAAGGAGCGTTGCACCAAGTAAAGAGAAACCCGCTCCTGCAGCTGAGAAAGCTTCGAGTTGAAGAGGCAAGAAAGCTGCGAAGCGACCGATGCCTTCCTGATGAATTTACTCTCTGATTCGGTTGAGCAATTGTTTGGAAGAGCCTGGCAAAAGCAAAGCCAGGAAAGTATTCCGGGGTGTTTGTCAGTGTCGCAATATGTCCTGGCCCACGGCTGCTAGGCTTGCAGTTGAAGTTCACTGCATCCTCAAGCTTCGGGTCAGATGTCTCCAGATGGACCCGAAAGCTTGTGTTGGCACACAACAAGCCGATTCTTATACCTTTTGATTTGCCGGTGTGCAAAGTTAGGGAGCAACCCCATCCAGCATAGGTTTTTGGGGGGGTGTTCGAACCCAAGGTTTGGAACTTAGAGTTCCGAACCCAGGGTTCTGGAACTCCGAACTAAGAGTTCGGAGCCTCGAACCAGGGTTCGAACATCGAAGTTCCCTCCGAACCCTGGGTTCGAACTTTGAGTTGAACTCCAAGTTGAACTCAACTCCGAACTTCTTGAACTGGAGTTGAACCTGGAGTTGAACTCTGAAAGGCGAAGAGTTTGAACCCAGGGTTTGAACATAGAGTTTCCGAACCCAGAGTTCGAACTCTGGCGGTCCTTAAGAGTTGAGTCCCCAGGTTTCGAACATTGAGTTTCCGAACCCAGAGTTCGAACATGGAGTTTCCGAACCCAGAGTTTGAACTCTTGTCTCATTGCTTCTTGTTCTCTCATTTTATTTTTTTTTGCAAAAACCCGATGAGCGATTTCGTGTGTCTTCTTCTCTTTTGCTTGTGCTTAAGGGTTGAGTTTGTGGTTTCTCATTGTAGTGTGCTCTCAGTAATTTTATTCGCAAAACCCCCCACAAAGCGATTCTATGTGGCTTCTTTTCCTTTTGTTTGGTGATTGTTGGTGTTCTGTTCGAACCCCGTTCGAACTCTGGGGAGAGTCTAAAACCTGGGGTTGGGCGGTTCATTTGTTCGCGCCTTTAGCATTCTTGTAGGAGACTTCATGTCCTTCTGAAGCCCCCTTGAGAAGAAAGACTCCTTGTCATTGACAATCTTTTTCTTTGTTTTGTCTTTCTTTTATTTCTTCGCAAACCCCCGATAAAGTGATTTCGTGTGGCTTCTTCTTCTTTTGTGGCAGGGACTGGTCATTGGTAGTCTTTTTCCTTGTTTTCGGCAAGCTTCTAAAAACAGCGGGGGGGTTGGGGGGGCGCAGCCTCCCCCCAAACGTGGAGTTCCCGAACTCGCCAGGGGGGGACGAATTCCAGAACCCGAGGTTCCAACACAGAGTTCCCCAAACACCGGGTTCCAACATAGAGTTCCCGAACCCAGGGTTCGAACTCCCTGGGGGACGGGGGGGGGTTCCGGAACCCGGGGTTCCGGTATAGAGTTCCCCAAACCCCAGGTTCGGGCATGGAGTTCCGAACCCAGGGTTCGGACTCTCTGGGAAGGGGGAGGAGTTCCCGAACCCGGGGTTCGAACGTGGAGTTCTCCAAACCCCGGGTTCGAACATAGAGTTCCCGAACCCAGGGTTCGAACATAGAGTTCCCGAACCCCGGGTTCGAACATAGAGTTCCCGAACCCAGGGTTTGAACATAGAGTTCAAACTCCAGGTTCAACCTGGGTTCGAGAAGTTCGAACCCAGGGTTCAACCCTGAGTTCCGGAGTTATATCCCCCCCCCCCCCCCCCGGGCCCCCCGGGAGTTCGAACCCTGGGTTCCGGAACACTCCAAAAACCTATGCTCAACCCCATCAGTCTCTCAAAGACTTTCTGCACATTTTCAAAGACTGGGATCTGTGGTTGCAGACTCACTGTGTTGCTGATGCACCGTGTCCTTGCAGTTATTGCACAAAACAACCGCCAGAACAGTGCC